ACCCCCCTCTCATAAATATATTAATTTGCCACAATCTACTGGCCACTGCATCTTAATCTGTAGGTGACTCCACGCTCAATTAATAAAAGGTCACTGCCACCACTTTGATACGACGCTTTGCGATACATGCCCAAACAAGTCCACCACCTATAGAATTGTTGTTATTATTGAAAAAAAAAAATTACTCATATATTTTATATAGTACTAGTGGTGACCCCACTTTACCGCAATTATGTCAGACTTGCCGGAACCAGCAGTCCCTGCGGAACTCAAAGCTTGGTTGTATAACGCCATTGCGGACTCCATCCCAAAAGCCTTAGCGGCTTTCCACGACCAGTCCAAACCCACCTCAAAAAGGCCCCCTATTGCACACTTGTCAGACTTGGATGAGTCTAGGGGCTCAGACCGTGAGGAAACCCCACCGCATACGCCCCTGGAAGGGCGATAGTGCTACCGTGGGTAAAGGCACGGCACGGGCTAAAACACCCAGATTACCCATCCCAGATACTCAGGATCATAACCCCAACTATAACCCAGACCCATTAGAGGGTTCCACTTCCAACCTGCAACTGCAAGTAGTTGACGAGTACTGTGCAGGATATTCAGACGAGGACTTTCCCTCTCATGAATTCAATGAAACCCCCTCCGACTCTAACTCTTTTCCGGAGGATATTTTATTGGATACCCTTGGCTAGCCCTTGTTTGACCCTAGGTACATCAAACACCCACGCTCAACCGAGTGGACCCCCCCAGACCACATTGCTAAATTCTGCAGGATGTGGCTGCATGAGCCTTTAGAAAAGGAGGTGAGGGCAAAGTTAAGAGCGGAATGCCCATGACCTGTTATTCCAGACAAGGTGGCTGTTACCCCAGAATTTTACCCCCTCGTCACTTTCCTATACAAATCTGGGAAAGATCCCCGTAAGCGTTAAGAACAAGGCCTGAAGGCAACCCAAGATAAGATGATGGATATGGCAGGACCACTTATCCAAATTTTCAGTATTGCGGATGAGGCTTTGACAGGTGACACTTTAGATGCACACATGGTGCGTGAATGGGCACAAAGGGCACTATGCCTACTTGGCAACGCCAACGTAGCCATGTCAACCGAAAGGCGCAAAGCCACCCTATACAAAATTGACGCGAAGCTCGCCGAACTAGGCACTAAAGAGCTTGGCCCTGAGGCACAAGGCATGCTTTTCGGAGACAAGTTTATAAAGGAGTTAAGCAAACACGTTGCTGTGTTTACGACGCTTACCAAAGCACAATCCTCTCTACGCAAGGTGTTTAGGACCCAACGATTTTCCATCACCGAGGCTGGTCGGCTGGCAGAGCGGCCTTCACAGGCTTCAGGCCTCGACCTTCAGACTATTGGAACTCGGGAAATACCCGTTTCCACCACAGACACTTCTTCCCCTCTCGTGGCTCTAGAGGACGTGGATCTGCTTCCCTCCGCGGTCGCACTCCTACAGGTAATGGACTATAATTTTTTTCATATACCTATTGCAGGCCGATTAACCCATTTTTCCCAACAGTGGTCTCGGCTCACCCAAGACCCGTGGATCCTTCAGACCGTGTCGGGTTTCCACCGAGAATTCACAGAGAATCCAGTTCAAATGTCTTTACCTGCCCCCCTCAGAATATCTCAAAGGGACGACATGTCCCTTCAGGTCGAACAAGACAACCTAGTCTCCAAGGGTGCCATCGAATAATCCCTCGGCCCACGAGGGTTTGTGAGCAACATGTTTCTAGTCAAGAAAAAGTCGGTAGAGTTCCGACCTGTCATCAATCTAAAAGAGCTCAACAAATTCAACAAATACAGACACTTCAAGATGGAGGGCATCCATCTACTACGAGACCTCCTCTGCGAGGGAGATTGGTTCTCCCGCTTCGACCTCAAAGATGCGTACCTCATGGTACCAATCACGCCAGAACACCGCACCTTCCTCCAGTTCCATTGGCGCAAAACAATATGGCAGTTCACCTGTCTCCCCTTCGGACTGTCCTCCGCACCTTGGTGTTTCACCAAACGAATGAAACCAGTGATGGGACTACTCCGTTCACAAGGCATTCGCTCCATCATATACTTGGACGATATCCTCCTCATGGCTCAAGACGAGGAGACTCTACGCCTCCATACAGATATGACTTCGGCTCTCCTCCAGAATTTGGGTTTTGTCATCAACCTTCAAAAGTCATCGCTAACTCCGTCCCAGACGATACAGTTTCTGGGATTTCAGATATTCGATTCAGGCAGTTCTACAACTCCCTGCTACGAAAATCAAAACCATACAAAAAGGACATCCGGAGATTGCTGGCTTCACCATACCTCCGACTCAAGGATTTAGCCCGCACAATTGGATTACTCTCTGCCTCAATCCAAGCAATATTTCCAGCTCCACTGCACTACCGGGCAATGCAACGTTTGAAAACACACTACACTACTTACATCGCTCAACATCTTACGAACAACAGATTTTTCTCACAAATTAAGTCCAATTGGAACTCCACTGGTGGCTTCAACATATGGAGGCCTGGAATGGAAGAGCTATCTTCGGCCGACAACCCGATTTCATTCTGGAATCAGATGCCAGCCTCCTCGGATGGGGCGCCACCTGCTCGTAACGTTCTACCGGAGGCCTCTGGTCCCCAGCAGAACAGGCTCTTCACATCAATTGCCTCGAACTAATTGCTGGCTCTTTTGCGATCCGCAGTTTTGCCAAGGAAGCCTACAACTGCAGTCTTGTCCTGAGGATGGACAATGTCTCAGCAGTACAATACGTGAACCGCCTAGGTGGCTCCCAATCAAAAATGCTATCAGACCTGACAAAGGAATTATATCAATTCTGCCTTGACAGGAATATCTCCCGGGCTCCGACAATCTTTTCGCAGATTGGTTCTCCCGCCACTGGAGGGATTCCAGCGACTGGCAACTGGACCCACAAATTTTCCACCATCTACAGGTCCTGAGAGTCCCATTCAACCTGAACCTGTTTGCGTCTCGCCTGAACCGCCAGACGGAAGCTTTCTTCAGCTGGCTCCCAGATCCAGTGTGCCTGGCAGTGGATGCCTTCCTTCAACCATGGCCAACATCCGGAGCATATGCCTTTCCCCCATTCTCCATGATCCCACGCACGATTCAATAGCTCAAGACACAAGGCGTCACCATAACTCTAGTAACCCCTCTGTGGCGAACCCAGCCATGGTTCCCTTCTCTCCTTGAGATGTCGGTGGACTATCCACTATTGCTACCCACCTCCTACAACCTCCTCAGGGACCCTTCAGGCAACTTCCACCCACTAGCATGAAAAGGCCACCTTCGGTTAGTGGCCTGGACCCTTTCAGGGGATCCTGGAATGTCTCTGGCCTTTCGGCTGCTGCTCGAGGACTACTACTCTTGGGCCCCAGGAACAAGACGCTCTTATCTCTCAGCGTGGCAACATTGGAATAGCTGGTGCTTGGAGAGGGACGTTGATCCCTTTTCAGCCTCTTTGATTAACATTATGAACTTCCTGGCATCACTCTTCGAACAGGGTAAATCCTATCGGTCAATTATCATTTTCCGTTCGGCCATTTCGGCAGCCCATAGCCCCGCTGACATCTCAGTGGTTGGTAAACACGCCTCCATATGTAGACTTTTGTGGGGCATCTGTCTCGCAAGACCCCTGGCTCCCAAATATAACCAATTTTGGGATGTTACTATGGTATTATCATTTTTGGAGACTTGGCCAACTCTCTCTGCGTCAACTGTCGGCCAAACTGGCACTACTGCTCTGTCTGGTATCATTTAGAAGAGTTTCGAGTTTCATGACAAACCCATGCTCTGCGTAGCTAGTTGCGTCCGACACTACATCCTTCGCACTAAAGACCTTAGACCCCAAATGGGCCCCCTACTGGTGTCCTACGTTCGACCTCACAGGCCAGTCTCATGCCCCATGATTGCTCGTTGGATCAAATGGCTTCTAACCCTAGCAGGCATTGATCCATGTTTTGGTGCTCACTCAGTGAGAGGCGCGGCCGCCTCGTCTGCATTCACAGCTGGGGGCTCCCTAACGGAGATCCTCACCTCCGCAGATTGGTCCAGAGAATCCACCTTCAGATCCTTCTATTTTAGACAAACTTCTCATGTTTCTAATTCCATCATATCATCGCTTTAAAACAGCAAATATGAAGCCTTCTGTCTTGCCATAAAATTTAGGTTTACATGGTTGACTCTGTCAGCTGCATCAAGAAAGAGGAATTGGGAGGAGCCTGATGACTGGACATACTCTATCGTACACTCGGATTGGTTAAATTTTGTACTTACTGTTAACTGTTTCTTTGCTGCTGGGAGTTACAGTAAAGAAAGTAAAGCAAATATTCGCCTCCTGTCTTTAATAAAATTTAGATTATTCGGTCACTAAGGTTTGAATAATCTCGAACTGTACAATACTGTTTTTGATTGGTTTTGTGACTTTGTCTCCTGTGCTCCACAAGGTCCACTTGGTAACCTTGTGGGGAAAACTGTATAAAAGACAATAAACCCTCAGATCTGCTGAGTTCCTGTTTTACCCTCAACATGTGGGAGAAAAGGCTGCATCTACACTGGGGGATTGCTATACTCTGTATACTTCCCTGGGCTATAATCACTAAGCTTTTTTAAGAGCTTGTTCCTGCTACTCTTTCTTGGAGGAGAGTTTCACCCACTGGAGCTTTGTCATAGATCCAGGGTGGGTAGAGGACAGCGAGATCCCAACCAAGCTGAAGCGGTTCGTGTGATCTGCGGTGCTTATGGTGTCTGGTGCGGTGCTGATGGTCCTTGGTAAGCACTGGGAGCATCGACTGACGGAGGGTCCGTCACACTTGTGTTTGGAAAGTGAAGTGGCACTTTATAAAATGCTAGATTGACTGCCAATTTATCAAATTGAACATATCCTGCATAAATGTAGAAAATTATATAGACTACAGAAAAGATTAAAAAAATATAAGAAACTGTTTTATTGGTTAATACAGCTCATCCCTTTTTTACCAGTGTATAAACATTCATAAACAATTTCATAGCAAGAGACTTTATTAAGACTATGTAATTTACATTAGATGAACATACAAGTTCACATCAAAATAGCACTTGCCTTAACATATATTCAATTTAACAATGCAAAAAAGGGACACTGTAGGCCCTCCAACTGCTTCATCTCCCTGTATTGGTTATAGTGCATGGAGTCCTCTGGTACTGTCCCTCCCAAAGGCTGATCTCTAATTAGGCAAGTTATGATGGGGGGCCCCTCAGTCTCAGTGTGACATGGGGAGAGCCCAGCAGCCACTGACAGGTGCAGAGTTGCAGACCATTTAGTAGTTTTCTCATGAGCTCCAGCCAATTAGAGCACTGTCACAGGTTAACATGGCAATACTTTAAGTGCCAGAGGTCTTTGTCTGAAACTCTGCACCTAGTGGAGCTGCAGACTAGATAGCTAGGCCACCGTACCAACAAAACATTGACCCTATCCCTGCCCAGGGAGGGGGCATAAAAAAGTTATTAAAGTGTTTGGAGGCTGGACACAGAACCACTTCCTCCCCACACGTCACCCCCTCGCACATACAGTCAGCCTCCATACATAGTTGGCCCAACATTCACCCCCTTTACCCTACCACATTCACCATATCACATTAACACCCTGCCACCAATCCTGTTACACTCAACCCCCAACCATGCCACACTCACCCTGTCACATTAACCCACTTAATCCTGTCACCCTTCCTCGTCTGTCACACTTTTCTTTCCAATCATGCCACATTCACCTTCACATTACCCCTCATCACCATGTCACAATCACTCTTCCACAGTTACCTCTCTACTCACTAAGTCACACTCACCCACTGAAAACAGCAGTAATAAGCACAGTCATGAAAGACAGCTTCGCTATAAACACAATGCTCAAAGACCACAAGCAGCCCACCACACACACATACATAGATACAGACATATACTGATCAGTCACAACATTAAAACCACCAACAGGTGAACAGAATAACATTGATTATATAGTCAAAATGGCACCTGTCAAGTGGTGGGATATATTACTGAATATATTCAGTTCTTGAATTTCATGTGTTGGAAGCAGGGAAAAAAAAATCAACAAGCAAAAAAATGAGTGTGTTTTACAACGACTAAATAGTGATGGCTACACAAATGTGGTCAGAGCATCTCCAAAACGGCATGTTGGCAGCTGCCACACTGCAACAAACTTCAAGATATTGCCTTGGCCCCCAGATTTTAATCCGACTGAGCATCTGTAGTGTGGACCAACAAATCCAATCCATGGAGGCCCTACCTCACATCTTGAGGACTTAAATAATCTGTCAGATACCACAGAACACATTCAAAGGTCTTGTGAAGTCCATGCTTCGATGGATTAGAGCTGTTTAGGCAGCACCAGAGGGACCTACACGATTATAGGCAGGTGGTTTTAATGTTGTGGCTGATCAGTATACATAGGCTCACAGAGACACACTTTCAAACACATGAATAATCACTGTCAAACACACACAGGTAGACAAATCCAGATACACCTGGAAATACACACAGTCAGAAACGCATTGTGACTGTCGTTGTGACACATTATCCACCTGACAGAATAATTTATATCAGGGCTTCCCAAACTTTTATGGGCCGAGACCCACTTTTCAAAACGGTAATTTTTCGAGACCCACTTGCTTTTAATGCATATTTTAAAAAGTGAACACCATGGCAATCAGCTTTAGAGGCAAAAAATTGGCACACCATAGCAATCTGCATTAGATGCACACCATGACAATTTTTTTTTTAAGGCATAAAATTGGCACACCATGGCAAACAGTTTCAGAGGCATAAAATTGGCACACCATGGCAAACAGTTTCAGAGGCATACAATTGGCACACCATGGCAAACAGCTTCAGAGGCATAAAATTGGCACACCATGGCAATCCGCTTTAGATGCATAACATGGCAGTTTTAGAGGCATAATTCTGGGATATCATGGCAGTTTTAGAGGCAGAAACTTTGCACATCATGGCAATCAGTTTTAGAGACATACAACTGCTTTCTCACAGACTCAGAAATGCTGTTGTCCTGCTCTTTCATCCAGGCACCTCATGTTGATTATCCCAGTGGTGGAACTAATGTAAAGAGGGCCCTGGTGCAAGTAAGTTTTTCTGGCCCACTCTCTAGTGCAAGTGTGGCCAAAAGGTAGATCTCCATCTGTAGGAGAACTTCAACAATGCTATGCCAGATGGAGATCTACCATTTGCACATCATTGCAGGGTTACATTTGTGAGCAGTGTTTCTATATATGCATGTTACAAGGGTTGTTTTACTCTGTTTATGCATTTTATTATGTTTAGAGGACATCTCTTTGTCTGTGGTTTCAAAAATGACAATATGAGATTTTATATTTAATTATCGTGTCCATAATACTTGTCACCTTGGTATAAACTCCGCTAGTGATTTTTTAAATTTGCTTTGGCTCAATCAGTGGTGTATTTAGAATTTGTGCTGCCCTAGGCAGGACGGTGATCGGGCACCCCCACCCCCCAATTTAAATTTTCCCCACCCCTTCCTGTCAAGGCCGCACTTTGAGTGACAGACGCTCACTCACTGACAGATGCACACACTCACTGATAGATGCATACACTCTCATATACACTGACAATAACACGCACACACTCACTGATTTGATACACTGATAGACAGACACACAATATTACTCGGACACACACGGACAGACTCACTCACTGACTGACAGATTCACACTGACTGAACGACACACACATATTCACTGACAGATGCACACACTCACTGGCCGACACACACATTCAATGGCAGACACACACTCACAAATTATTTATTAAAATGTTATTTTAAATCCACCCAGCCTCCCTGGGAGAGTTGGAATGGATTGCTTACCTGCGGTCCAGTGGGGATGCTGGTCGGGCAGGCAGGGGGCGGCATGCTGAGTAGGCAGCGAGGGAGCTTTAATCTTCCTGCTCAGCTCCCTCGCGCGCCACTTAGTGATGCCGGAGTGACGTCATATTCCGGCTCTCGGCTTCATTAAGCGGCACGGAGGGAGCTGAGCAGGAAGAGCTCAGGTGAGCATGCTCCCTCGCTGGCCGCCTTGGTGGGGTGGGGCTCAAAAGTGGCCAACCGGCCAGCTTTTGAGCCTCCCATGACATGAGGCAAACAAGGGATCTGCCTGGGTGTTTAGGCGCGGCTTTTTTTGCCGCCCAAGGCAAATGCCTTGTTTGCCTCGTGGAAGATACGTCTCTGGGCTCAATACTCCCTTTTTGTTATTGGATTCAAGAATATTATATTTCTTCACATATTTTTGAATTTTCACATTTGGTTATATAACCTGTCATTGATGACAGTTCTGGCTGGGTGCATGGGTTACTCTACATGGCTGACATTTATTTAAAGCATGTGTTGTGACTTAATTGTTAGTCCTAGTTGTCATTGGACCTGTTTACACAACAATAATTTAAGTCCCCCTAGTCTTGCAATGACAGAAAGGTAGGTGCACTACATTGACTAGGCAATAAAGTTGTTTCTACCACAGTAATTGCACTCTAGCTCGGTATCCAACCAGTTCTTCCCACTGCAGGCTCTAGACCAGGGCTAGGCAACCTCCGGCACTTCAGATGTTGTGGACTACATTTCCTATAATGCTCTTGTAGCTATAATACAGGCAGAGCATAATGAGAGATGAAGTCCAAAACATCTGCATTTCAGAATATTGCCTACTCGTGCTCTATACTGTGCTCAGATAGTGTGGAGCCACTCTTGCCAAAGATCAGCTTGCCATAAAATTTTTTTGTAATTGTCTGTTTTCTTGATTTCTGTCTCAAATAAACCAGTTTATCAGATCTTTGAAATCAACACTGATCAACAAACTGGATTTATTTAAATATTCAACTCACTTTGTCTCTGACACTTTGCACACCCCATGGTCCCATTCAGTGTTTCCATTATGGCAGTAATGCTTACCCCTCTGCGCTATTGCTCATTCCAAGGGCTTTGTCTCACTCAAGAACAACAGTGTTTATGCTGTGTATATACCTCCCTGTAATGGCTATGGTACCAGGAGTGCCCTAGCACACTAAGATGTCAAAGTGGTTTGACACCTTACCTGCATAGTACTGGGCATTAACCCGGTTTCTGACATCTTCAGTAGGAGAAGCCAGAAGTTACCTTAGAGATCGGACTGCACTCATTGTCTAAGAGTACCAACTGACTGCTTCATCAAATGATTGTGGTCCTGCATTGCTCTAAAATGATATTCAGCTTTACTTGCTGGAGAAGACTGGATAGATTGTGGGCTCCAGGTAAGTTGTCAAAACATGTTAAAAACTTTGACGTTTTACAATAGAATGGCACCAATACCCTCCTGGCTCAAGGTGTCCCTTTAATACATACATTATTTGATACAAAAGTATTCATTCTATTATTTGTATACTGACATTTGCACATGCCAGAAACTTTCATTATAAGCAAAAGTTGTTGAAAAGGTCTGTCCCTGAGGATCTGGTAGTGCCAGCGTTGATGAGCATCCGTAACGAACACAAATTCCCCTCGGAATTTTTAATAAATTGCATACAGAAATTCAGAGTTGAATTCTAACTCCAAGCCACAACATCATTGTGATTAACCATCTGATCCTGTACAATATCCCTAAGAAGAGAGCCAGTTACATTGCAACATTTACACTGGCTGCCTCATGCTGCTCTCTCACTTATAGTGCAGAACGGTTACCAAACAATATATACACAGTAACACATCCCATTTCTGTGGTTTTTCTGGTGACCCCTGAGTTCACAACACATCTGCTGCTTTTCTGCTTCATATTCTTGTTTAGAATTCTCAATCAATGTGTCTGTTGGAGAGAAGACTAAAATGTCACTTTTGTTAAACAATAAAACTTTTTGATCAGTCAAAAATATAAAATAGCTACACTCTAAATAAACACATATTGGATTGTAACACTAAAAGTATAAGAGATACAAGGAACAAATAGATGAGCAAAACATGTTTCTATGATATAGAAATTACATAAATCTCTGAACTATTCAATACCGCAAAATAGCTGCCTCATTCTATAGGAATGTAAAAGGAAACCAGAGCAACAGTCAAACTTAGTCTATTTATTCCTGCATTAAGAAACAAAAAAATAGAAGTTACATTATTTGTGCACATGTACATTTTACAGACATTATAAAAGGGAACAATACATATGGATACAGTCAGACAGCAAGTCCCTGCAACGAGGGAGTGAGCTTACTTTTTGAGAGATATTAAAGGATAGGTGGACTAGACACTCATCCAATAGTGACTCCCTCCCCCTCTGCCCCCTTATACAAGGGAACAATACATTAGGGATACAGTCAGACAGCAAGCCCCTGCAACAAAGAAGTGAGCTTACTTTTTGAGAGATTTTAAAGGATAGGTGGACTAGACACTCATCCAAAAGTGACTCCTACCTACCCCAATAATTGTTGTCATAATAAAAAAAGTATTACCAGTAGTATAATAGACCACTAATGAAATTTTTCCTGTTAAGAAGGGGGTTAATGTGCACATTTGTACTATAGGTGGTAAACATACACCATACAATATTGCAGTGCTAGAATGTCCCCTCCCCTTTTAGATACGCTGTTGAGAGTAGCTGGTCATGAGTAAAATTCTGGTTGTTTCAGAAGTGAGTCCAGTCTGAGTCATTAGGTCCCTACAAATGTTATAATACAAATGTTGAGAGTTTAATTCCTGTATGGTGAGGGTGTTATTTTTCAGCTCCCTCTGTTCATCGGTAATAGGTAAATAGATGGTGGAGATGTTATTTACTACTAAGAATATAAAACATGTTTTACCATTTACAATGAGATTATTAAATAGCAGAAAATTCACAAAATAGTAATTGAATCTATGTATTTTTATACATCTTAATTGGACTGACATATTATGTATAATTTTATCAGGGGAAATTGTTTGCTGGAGCCTAGTAGCAGGTAACTGTAAAACACCATTACCATCCAGACAATTCCTAAGGAGTCCTGTCCTCAAAAGCAGTGAAGTGCAGGAAAGGTTTGCCCAAATGTAGTACCGGAACAGAAGAGGCAAAGGTGAGGTCAAAAGATACAATAAGGAAGCATGGTAGAAATGTGTGCTGCAGGTCTGCTTGCCCTGTTTATGAGCTATACAAATCCAAAAATAGATTAGACAGATAATATAAATAGGTAGACTACATAGATGAAATTGATAGAATGGATGGATATATGACCTAGATTGAATGGACAGATAGATTAAACAGATATATTGGACAGACTAGATGGATTGGATAGACAGACAGACTTACACATTATACAGCTGAAACATATACAGTTTGTTTCTGGGGATTAAAATATTAGATTAAGATCCATCAGTGAATTATAGCTTTAATTTTATTTCAACAATATAAAAATACAAGCATGTCATGACTGTACCATACAATTTGGTTTGTCCCTGGAATATCCTTTTTGGGGAAAGCAAAAGTGAAATATATTTGCTCCATAAGCTATCAGGACCTCTTGAGGCTGAAATGTAAATGCCTTTTAAAGTTAATTTCAGATGACCTAATCCAAAAGTTCCTTTGTCTTTGTTGCCAACTGTTTGTCCAACTCTGCTGAAACTTCATCTGCCATCTGCTGGATCTGCAGTAGGAGAGTAAAGAAAATGCACACTTATTTAGAAACACAGAACAAAATCTTGTTTTTGCTTTATCTTTTGGTTAACAGCTCATGTTGCTCAAGACAGTTGATAGAAATATGTGAACAATATTTTTCTACAGAGATTGTTTTACTGAATTGTGAATTAGTGGCTGGAGCAAATAAATATAGTAGTAGTGCAAAACTGTTAAAGGGGAGGAGTAAGCAAATGTAATGTTCCTGTTGGTTCTATTGGTTTTTTTATGGTAATTGTCCCACTTATTACTTTGGAAAAAAATTTTTTTAGAGGAGAACACTGAAAAATATCCCCATCGTGTGTAAGCAGCATGTGTGCTCATTGTTATAACAAACCTTCATCTTAATCACCTAGTCCAACCATGGACTGGACTACATAGGGCATGCTGTATGAATAAAATGAAACCATCACAAAAGCATAACAGTCAGAAAAAAATACTCCTAAAATAATTATACTTGATTGATACATATTTAAAAAGTCTATTTTAGAGGCAAAATGTGCTGCGTGAGACTTTATTTATGCTTTTAATTTATGTAGTGTTTTATTTATTTGCATTACATTTTTTTCTGTGGGTTATATCCCTCCTGCATTCATTCTGTTCCACTTTGCTTTTACTTGGATATTTTGGAATAACACCACAAGGATTGTGTAATTATTTTGGACTAGCCTGCACGAGCTGAAAAGCAGCTCAGCATACTCATAAGATTAGGAAGAAAAAAAATGCTGTGAAAACCACTGATTTAGTCATGAGAAAAGTACGTTTTTTTTTTTTTTTTTTAAACATGTAGTGTCTTAATATCACAGAATATAAAATAGTTGTTTTTAGGAATTATAATATGCATATTGATGTGCCTAAAATGACAAATATTATACTAACTGACAGAGCACTTCTCAGATTTCAAAATAATATACAAATGCAAATGTAAAACCCAAGAATTAAGTATCTTGTTCATTAAAGGGGTTACTCCAGGCACCATGACCACTTCAATGATTTGAAATTCCGTATGTGCTGACTGCAGGTACCATTTGGTAAAGAACTGAGCAGTGAGACTGCAGGGGCATGAGCTTTACACAAAACATAGAATGTGACGGCAGTTAAAAACCATTCGGCCCATCTGGTCTGCCCAATTTTCAAAATATTTTTCATTAATCCTGGCCTTATTCTATAGCTAGGATAGCCTTATGCCTATCCCACGCATGCTTAAACTCCTTCACTGTGTTAACCTCTACCACGTCAGCTGGACGGCTATTCCATGCATCCACTACCCTCTCAGTAAAGTAATACTTCCTGATATATTTAAACCTTTGCCCCTCTAATTTAAGACTCCTCTTGTGGTAGTTTTTCCTTCTTTTAATTAAGCTAAAGTTGTTTTGGTGCTTATAGTGTCCCTTTAGATAATGCCACCATCCATCCCCTGGAAGACTACTGTTTCAGGACCGCTGCCTAACTATGAATTGACCTTTTTCTATTGTGTGGATGTGCGCTCCCCCTTTTTAATGTTCCCCTTTCTGTAATTTTGACCGTAAAATCCTGCAAAATACCTTTTGACCACCCGGTGGCGCTCTGGCACATGGAGCCCTGTGCACCAGACCCCACAGATACCCAATTTAGAACATTTAATCAGAATGTTCACACCTCGCTAACGAGGTGTGAAAACCACAGACTGCAAGTATCAACCACGCAGGGAAGCTGGTAAAACCACAGACCAGGCAAGGGAACAAGTGGCGCATGCCTCCCCTGGTTGGCGCCGGTTCATATCACCGAACGCCCACCAGGGGGAGCATTCGGCTCCCGAACCGGCCTGCGTGCACTGTCTTCGATTCCTCTGTCAGGAAACATCCTACCTGCTCCTCAGGGAGCTATAGTCACTTGTTACTCTCAAACCTGCGAACTATGAGTCTAGGCTTGTGTGGTTATCCACCAGAGAGAGGGACGTGCGCCAGTATCAATTTCCCTGGGGCTGTGAGTCGGTCTCATGGCCGCAGAGTTCCCGCTGGCTGCATGGAAGTCTGTGCCGACCAATGGGAGAAGGAGCGCCCATTCAAACTGGGTTTGCGCCATTCTCCTGGTTGGTTGGCTTGAGTAAAGAGCTAACTGGTCGTCGCAGGGAGCAGGCGACCAATCAGAGAAGGCGCGCTTGTTCAAACAGGGTTTCTCGCCTTTTCTTCTGATTGGGCCACGAAACCCATCTCCTCCCCGAGCACCGATTGGTTCAGCCGAGTTTCTCGCCCTTTCTTCGGATTGGCCGATGAAATTCCTTCCTCCCCTGAATGCTGATTGGCGCAATTTGGTTTACGGCCTTTCAGCTGATTGGTTGTTGCTTGGTTTAGGCGCGAAGTTTGAATTCGCTGGACTAAACCAAGCAGGAACGAATTTCGGGGATGTACAGAGCCTTGAGCACCAGACTTTCTACGCTGATATCTCTGGCTCTGTACATCTGATCGCCCCGCTTTTTGCAGGGATCCTAGAGGGGACCTGGGGCTATTCATCCGTATAAGTTTTAACCCCTTTACTCCCTTCCCGTCCCAGGGCGCTGAGCCCCAAAGTTCACCCCCCTATATGTAATGTGTACTCATGTGTGTCCCTGTGTCCTGTTAGTATCTCCCAGAGCGGGAGATGGTTATCTGTCCCCCAGCCCCCTTCCGCATGAGATTGTGTTGTGTTGGATGGAGACCCCCTGTTGGATGGAGACCCCCTGACGATTGTCAGAGATTGTACCCTGGAACTGTGTGCCGTCCAGTTACTGGGGGAAATGGGTCTGATCTATTATTACTAAATGGGAGTAACCAGTCGGGTTACCCAGGTCCCGCTACAACTACATTCATCAATTGTCTGTAAGTCAGGGGAACTTTGTCAGTCATGTACACGCAACTGATTAACACTCAACTGTTTACCAGGTTTTAGATGCTTAACCCCTGAAGGACCAAGGTTCTTGAGATTTTTGGCTCTTTTGCCAGATTTCATTCTATCACAATTTTATCCTGTTTAAAGTGACTCTGTCGCCTTAAACTTACCATTCTTTTGCTGTCTCCTCTTCTCTTTTGGAATCGGTTCTCCTCTTATTCATTTCTGATCTATTTCTCTTTAAAAATAAGTCAAAGTAGGAACTACTATGTTTTATGTGTTTTTCCTGCCCTTGGCGATCTTCACACAAGGTGGATCTTAAAGCAAGCTTCACCCTTTGTTAGCTTGACAAAGTTTTCCTGAAGCTCACCCTTTTAGTCACAATTGCCAATCGTAGGAATAATACATATGACAAAGTAGTCCCTTCTTTGTGTTATTTTTTTAAAGAGAAATAAATCAGAAGAATAGAAAAGTAGATTCTGAAAGAGGAAGAGAAGAGGACACAATAGAAAAAAGGTAAGTTTTAGGTGACAGAGCAACTTTAAGTGCACCCATACATATTAAATATTTTTAGCAGTCCGATTCTTGGACCTCCTTAAGGCAGGTCCCAAGGGGGTTATAGAGAAATGCTCCTCTCTGGCCTGGACAGACTGGCGAGAGGATGGAGGGAGGTGCTCTCAAACTATCTAAGCTAATCTCTTCCCAGTGCTACTTCGCCCTTGAAACATGAGTAGATGGAATTGGTGTATTAAACAGTGTTACATTATACTAGAAATACTTTCATAGAGAGCAATTGACCTGCGCGTCCTGGCTATATTATGACGGTCCAGCATGACCCACAAATGGTTGCTGATTTGGACCTGCGTGTCCATGAATGATGCATCTGATGCTTTAGTTTACGACCAATAAAAATCTTATTCAGAAATATCATTTTTAAACGAGACATAGGGCTTTCTCATTATACCCTCATATACGATATCTACTTCTCATACTGCAGCTCCTAAAACTGTAATTGGTGCTGGGCAGCTAGCAAAGCCACGTGAGCAAGAGTTATGCAGTGAGACCTCACCAGGGTCTTTTCAGAACCTGGGATTCTCTGTTATACTAGGTGCAGACTTAGAATAATAGCGGTTGAACAATTGGATTTAAAGAGCTATGTGCAGCGCTCACTTTTCAGCACTGCACATAATTTATCTGTCAGTATAATGCCATAAATTGTGGCCCCAGCCAGGGGCGTACCTAGAGCATTTGGCACCCGGGGCGGATCCTGTGCTTGCTTTTGACAAAAAACCTGTAAAAAAAATGTAAAGGTTCTCTCTTTTTTTTTTTTTTACAATTTGTTACAGGCAGACAGGCTCACATACACATTTCCTCCATGCGGCCAGTTTATCAGCTGTTTGCTTGTGTGAGCTGTACTGCCACAGCCCCCTCCAGCCAGGGCCGGTGCAAGGATTTTTGCCGCCCTAGGCAAAAGTAAAGTTTGCCCCCCTCCTCCCCATGTGACATCACAATGCCCCACCCATATGATTTGCCATGTTAACTAACGCCAGTGCTGCAGTGCCGCCGTGTTTACATTAAAAGGCCTGCAGGGACAGGCTATAGACACCAGAACCACTACATTAAGCTGAAGTAGTTCTGGGGACTATAGTGTTTCTTTAATGTGAGGTAAATTAGAGCTTAGTGCCACGAATAATATACTAGATTGCCTACTTACAACCAGATGAGGATGATGATGGGCTCTAGCTGCGGTCTGGCTTCACTGGTCTGGTGCAAGAACAGTCTCTCTGCAGGCGGTTTGTAACTGTGGTCACAAAAATCAATGTTCTGGGAGAACGGGAAGCAGCTCCATTTTTTGGGGGTCCTTTACACAGCTCAAGGTCTGGGTCCCAGGGTCCACCTTCATGTTCCACCAATGAGTTTGTTCACAGGGGGTGGAGTGTGTAGGGGATGTCCTGATATGTGTGTAAGGAATGCATTGTGTGAAATTGTGTTTGTATGTGTAAGGGCTGCAAGGTGTGTTTCTGTGTATGTATGGGATGCATTGAATGTGTGTAAGGGGTGCATTGAGTGTGTGTAATGAATGCATTGTGTGTTTCTGTGTGTGTAAGGGATGCATTGTGTGTAACGGTTGCATTGCTTGTGTATGTGTGTCTGTGTGTGTAATGCATTGTGTGTTTTTCTGTGTGCAAGGGGTGCATTGTGTGTATGTGATGAATGTCAATCTCTCCTCCCGCTCCAATTTCCTTCTCCTCCTCCCAATTTCTCTTTCTCACCCCCCTCCTAATTTCTCTCCCCCCCTAATTTCTCTTTCCCCCCTCCTAATATCTCTTCCCCCCTCCTAATTTCAATTTCTCTTTCCCCCCTCCTAATATCTCTCCCTCCCTCCTAATATCTCTCCCTCCCTCCTAATTTCTCTTCCCCTCCTAATTTCTCTCTCACCCCCTCTCTCCTTTCTCACCCCCTCCTTTCTCTCCCCCCCCTCCTTTCTCTTTCTCTCCCCCCCTCCTTTCTCTTTCTCTCCCCCCCCTCCTTTCTCTTTCTCTCCCCCCCCTCCTTTCTCTTTCTCTCACCCCCTTTCTCCTCTTTCTCACCCTCCCTCCTTTTCTCACCCCTTTCTCCTCTTTCTCACCCTCCCTCCTTTCTCCTCTTTCTCACCCCCTTCTCCTTTTCACCCCCTCTCTCCTCTTTTCACCCCCTCCTTTTCACCCCCCTCTCCTCTTTCACCCCCTCACCTTTTCACCCCTTTCTTCCCCTCTCCTTTTCACCCCCCTCTCCTCTTTTCACCCCCCCCCCTTCTCCTCTTTCACCCCTCTCCTTTTCACCCCCCTTTCTCCTCTTTAAACCCCTCTCCTTTTCACCCCCCCCTCTCCTCTTTTCACCCCCTTTCTCCTCTTTCACCCCCCTCCTTTTCACCCCCCTCTCTCCTCTTTTCACCCCCCTCTCTCCTTTTTCACCCCTCCTTTTCACCCCCTTTCTCCTCTTTCACCCCCCTCCTTTTCACCCCCCTTTCTCCTCTTTCACCCCCTCTCCTTTTCACCCCCCTCTCTCGCTTTTCACCCCCCTCTCTCCTCTTTCACCCCCCCTCCTTTTCACCCCCTTTTCTCCTTTCACCCCTTTCTCCTCTTTCACCCCCCTCTTCACCCCCCTCTCCTCTTTTCCCCCTTTCTCTCTTTCACCCCCCCTCTCTCCTTTTTCACCCCCCCTCCCCCCTACCTCCCTGTAGCGTGGCCGAGCACAGTATAGTCCGCGGGTACAGAGAGCAGCTGTCTCCTGTACCCGGCCGGACTAACAGGAAGTGAACACTGAGTGTGCACTTCCTGTTAGTCCGGCCGGGTACAGCAGACAGCTGCTCCCTGTACCCGCCGGCTATGCAGGGCTCGGCCATGCTGCAGTGAGGGAGCTGACAGGAGCGCTCCCTCCTGTCAGCCTCTCCTCAGGCTGCGCCCGGACGGTGCGGTCCGCCCTCATGGACGCACCGCCCGGGCAATGCTGCAGCCGCCTGAGGCTCAATACAGAGCGCTCGGGCGGCTGCAGCATATGGGGGGGGGGGCTGATCATGGCACCCGGGGCGGACCGCCCCCCCCTTAGTACGCCACTGGCCCCAGCTGACCCTCAAAAGATAACAGGGACTTCTTGTTATAAGCTGGGGGAGGAGGGGACAGGGACAGACTCAGAATTACTGTGGCAGAACACGATCGCTCTGCTGGAGTATTTAAGGGCTTTGAGCCCTGCTTATAGCTTATCAGTCTGGTGCCACTAAGTTTGTCCCCAACTGACAGAGAGGATACTTGGGTATTCAATAATACCTGGGGTTGCTTGGTACCTGCACGGATTTAATCCTAGTGATACTTTTAATGCATGACTGTCTATGCCATCAATATGCGTTTAAAGGGACACTGTAGGCACCCAGACCACTTCAGCTAATTGAAGTGGTCTGGGTGCTGTGACCCTTTTGCACTTAGTGCTTAGTGTTTACATTGCAGTTCTAAGTCTGCCCTCTGTGGCTGTCTAACAAACAGCTACTAGTGGGCTTCCGGAATCCAAACTTATTTTTGGTCTGTTATCTGACGGTGGACATCTTCACGCTCTGCACGAGTACCTCCTGTGTCAGATTTTCCATGCGTTGCATGTGCATTAGGACGTCGGCGAGGGAGGAGCCTGGGCGTACCCTTACCCAGCGGCGAGGGACATCGGCGCTGGATTGAGGTAAGTGGCTCAATGGGGTTTTAACCGCTTCAGCCCAGTGGGAGGTGGGCACTCCAGGAGCCTATAGTGCCTGGAAAACAGGTTTGTTTTCCTGGCACTATAGGATCCCTTTAAGTCCCGCACAGCATGATTGCATTTTTTAAAGGGTTATATCTTTCTTTCTCTAGGCCCTAGATTTAAAATATAATATTTTATGAATCTATTTTAAATCTGGAAACTTAATATAACAACATAATACGCCCTAAAACACAAATCCAATCACACATTCGCCTTTAAAGGAGCTGTTACTTTCTCAATTTAGTTATTGGTTGGGCTATTTATGCCTTTTTTTTTCCATTAACATGTTGGCTGGAAAAAGGCATGTAAAGTATATAAATGAATTTTTGCAATATGCAAGTGTACAGTATTTCTCTGTTACAAGCCCAACTGCACCGACACACGTCCAAGGCATTAAGAGACAGTGAAGTCAAGCAATGCAGAAGTGCAACTGACGTAAGTTTTTACCCTGGAAGATGTAAATGTGTTACAAGGAAAGATGTAAAAAGGAGCCGTCACTTTTTAGCTCACCCTATCAATAGTGTGAATTTATTTTTTTTCCCCCACAAATTGTTTTTGTGAAAATGTCCTCATTTCTAATGATCTTACTCAGCAATGAATAGTCAACTAAACATCTGACTTCATCTGGAAAGCTATGTTGGTTTGTATGCTGTTTACACCAAAGAGAATAATAAGATCTTAAATGTATCCATATTGCCAAACGACTGTTTTGCGTTTTGAAATATAATATTTTTACATTTACTGCTAAACTAGGATTTATACTAAAAAGAGATATGCACAGCTTATTTTTTTTTCCCCAACAGATTTTATTCATGTAATACTTTTTGAGCTTACCTGTTTTTCCAGTAATTTTATTGTGTCCTCTGATACCTCACCCTTAGCTTTCTTGACATGCACAACAGCTCTTGTTCGCACCTTGCGCAAAGAATCCTTGGAGTTGTTAGTGAGTTGTTTTGCCAGCTTTGACAAGTTTTCTCTGTGTTCTCGTGTTACTCTTTAATGAACAATAAGTTACAAGTCACAGATTGGCTAAAGCAAGAGAGTCATTTTAATCTGCATGGTAAATTGAATGAGAATTATGAGAGAGAACATAGCTGTCAAAATATCCCAGAATTAAGGCTTGCATGGGCACCCAATAATTTTGCTGTGAAAGTGCTAAAACTAGCTTCCATTCATCGGATCTGATAAGCAGAACTTCAAGTGGGGTTAACTACTTAACACATATTTCTAGATTGTAAGCTCTTTCGAGCAGGGTCCTCATTAACCTATTCTTCCTGTAACATTTTAGAATGTCTCATATTTTGTTAAATTTCCTCATTTAGAATATTGTAAAACGGTGCACAATATGTTGGTGCTATATAAAAGATGATAATAATCATATAAACCCCTCCCCCAACAAGAGAATGAGAGGCTTGTGAATGTTGAAGCCTCTTCCTAGTCAGTCTGCTCCATACACTTGCCTGTGTAATTGGTGCATTTTTAGGAACTTTAAAATGGGAGTATTTTTTCCCAGATCAATAGAGGCTTTATGCAAGTTGTCGTTCAATGACTATATTTTTACTTATTGAAGCTATAAGCTCAACTACAACTGAAATAAATATTTGCTGTGATCCCTGATTATATGAACTGTGGTATTGTACAAACACTGCAGGAACAAAAAGTGTGCTCTTATCGAGCTATGACATTACAAACCGGCTACAGTAACAGTTAAGAAAAAGGTCATTTAGACTGGGAATTCCTAAACTATAGGAGAAAGGATTGAGAGGCACAATGTTGCATTTTCTTAAGCTATACAAAATAGAGAATGCAAATATCTGAAAACTATAAAATTGTCTTGATGTCCCTTTAAATTCAGAGAACTGCAATGATTTGTCCAGCCTGTTCTGCTTATATGACCTATTTCTTTTCTACAGAATTGTAAAAGGTGTGCTCAGACACACTTTGTCAGGAAAGACAGCAATAAACTAAATTTTGAATTAGATTGCTTCTCAAGTTAACAAGAACAACACTGGGCTTATTTTCCAGTTTTAAAGCAGCATTGTCACGCCATACTTACCTTTGTTCCCATCACTTCCTCTTTCCTACTCGGTCTTTCTTTTCCTCTTTTTTTCATCTATTCTAACCAAAAACATAAGAAAAAGTAGTGGGATTAAATACTAGGGACTAGTTTGTCTAATGTATTTTTCCTACGCATGACACCGCTTGACACTGGGCGGACCTACCGCCATCAAGAAGTGTTAATTCCCCAATCTGTCACTAGTGATGGATGCAGGGAATTTGCTATATATATGGAGGATCCCATTGTCTCACAAGATCTTCCATAGACCTCAATGCTGTACTCTCGCTCATGTGTGAGAATACAACAGTGACATCAGTTCCTAGAGCTTTAGAAGAGGACCCGTCGGAGAAGGATGGTGGGACAGGTACAGACGAGGAACAGCTACAGGCAAGAAGAACTCACCTTCGCCTGGCCCCCGGCGGCAATGTCATTGTCAGGGATCTTTGCAAATTAAGCAAAGACTGTGCCGATTTAATTATACTTATCACATTATAATTTATTTTGTTTCACTGAATTATTATGTATTGGTATTTCTTAATTTTCTTTTCAAAGTTTCAGTTCACAGTGGAATAATAAGGTATTTAAGTCTAGCTGCATTACATATTTGCCTCATACTACCAGCATCTTTACTCCAGTTCATACTTATTTGTGGTTTGTCTGTTTAAACACTTAAAGGTAATTAAACATATGTTTAAAATAAAAATTTTGAAATTATTATTTTTATTGATACAGATATATCAGAAGTAGCCATACATGCAAACATATGAGAATGAAATCCATGTCTATATATTAAAACTAGTGGTTTAGTTTTACTCACTGAGGTACTGGTACGCGGATTATTGTTCCATCAAGTTCTGGATTCAGATTCATATGACTGTCTCTTAGTGCATTCACAGCAGCAGCTGCACTCTATAACCAGGCAAAGAGTAAGATAACTAACTGCTGTTCTCTTTGCATAACTATTATTAGATGCAGACTACCATTAGATTCAGGCAAAACAGAAAAAAAAAATAATGTTTGTCCTCATGTCTGTTATATACTTACATGTTAGTCAACCTGAATGAAATATTGTCTCTTCTTTACCTTCCTTTTTTCAATAACATTTACTATTTTTCTTAAATATAACAAATTTCTTGCTTTCTATAACATGCCATTAATCCCTAATTTCTATCTTAAGTAACAACATATTATGATTACTTCCCTCAATTATTTCACCTCTACAGAAGACAGGGAGACACAGAGTGTGCTTACCTGTTTCCCATGTGTCAGCCATATGAAGTGAAGAGGCAAGAATCAATAATATGCCCTATTGTGACACCTGCACCACAAGTCAAATGCCCTAAAAAGTCCACTTATAAATCCCCAATTGCAAGATTCTGCTCTGTTTTGTGCCTAATTCCTTGAAGTCCATTCTGCTACTAATCTGTCATTTGGATCCATATTGCACTTCTCTTTCCATATCCAGTCTTTCATTCTCCTGCACCTCCTCTCTGGTTACCTGTCTCCTGACTTTCCTTATGAACTATGGCAGTTAGTCCACATCAAATACCGTTATCCTGGCTCCATAACACCAAGCCAATAATACTAACATTACTAAAAAAAAAAATAAAAAAAAAAAAAAAAGGAGGATGCCCGGGCATGCAAATGTAGCACCTGTACCTGTAAATACAGAGGTAAGTGTGTTTTACACTTACCTTCGTTTACATATCTCACCCCAGTACACACTTTGATAGCTGTGCGATTAATAACAGAATTGCCACAATTTCCCTTATGCCAAATATGGAGAGGCATACATGTATAGATCTGTAAAAGGTCGTTATAACTATCCCTGCTAAAAAATAAATAAAAATAAAAAAATGTTGGTGCTCACCTCAGGAAAACTTGCCATGTTAATAATAAAAAGCTGAGGAGATTTCAAAGAAATTTGTCCAAGTTGATTTAAAGGAAATTTTCCATTTTTTGTTGTCACAGTGATATGATCAAATGCACCTGAAGAAAAAAAAAATAATAAGAGAGAATCAACAGAAAGCAGGCAATATTTGGATAAAGTACTCTATGTAAATACTACCTTTCCAGAATTATATAAAGCATACGTTTTACATAAAACAACAAGGTTTCTTAAAATGCACTATGCACTACATTTGCAAAAAGTAGTTGAATTCATATAATCTAAAGGATACCAGGCATGACAAATACAACTTAATCTTAAATATACAGAAACATATTTGTTGATAAACTAAAAATTCTAAATATAAAAGCTAATAACGTGTGAAGAAAAATAAAAATGCGAAAATATTCCCCAGCCGCCTATATGGTATTTAAATTCTATCTACAATATGTACAATACATGAAATACAGCTGCTGCACACCTGTGTTATACCCTTACACCAAACACATCCAGTGTAAATACAGAAAATATATCTATGTTGGTTGAGCAAGTAAAATAGTCTGGTTTTCTGTCAGAGAAGGCTCAGAATCAAAGAAAAAAAATTAAAAACATAAGAGAGAAGTAGTGCAAACTCACAGTTACAATATAATAATATATGGATGAAAATTTACATGTAAAAGATTACCCAATAATAAGGATGATGGTATAAAAATATAATATCAATAGTAATTTATTTAACAAAACAAATTCAGCTGATTAATTTAAACAATAAGATTAATAAAATAACAGCATAAAATCAATTATATATAAAGCCTCTTACAGGAAAGCATGGACTTAGCTGAGATTATGAAAATAGATGATCTCAGCCAGGGCATAATCGGCACAGCGTGAGAAAAAGGGGAGTAAAAACACCTGTGCCGTGCGACTGGAGGGGGGCAGGTACCTACAAAGACTCACACTCTGTTACACGCGCGTGCACACACACTTTCTCACACACTCAAACTGACATTTTTATTTTAACTGAAATTCACTCAGTCTCCCTACCTTTGGGCTGAATGATCTTTCCCTGGGGTCCAGCGGGTCTGCTCTTCCCTGGACCTTGCTAGCCTGAAAAGACTTTGTGGAAGTGGTGAAGTAGACGTTGCAAAACGTCTTTTGGGTGAGTTGGAGCTACTATATATATATTCTGGGCCGTAGTATATTTTTGCTGTGTGGAAGTATAGAACTGCAGAACTCCAGAGAAATACAATCTAATTCATGGTGGATGTATAAGGCTGTCCTGTTTAATTGGATGGAGGCAAATATTTTTTTCCTCTTGTTTCTTGCCTCGCTTTGAAAAGGTTACATAGATACATAGATGGAAAAAGACATGTCCATCAAGTTAAGCCTTTCTAAGGTTTTACTCACATTTTTTTCCCATGCCGTGTACGCCTCGCCGCAGTTGGCTCCACCTCCATAGCTTAGATAATCAAACTTGATGATCTCAGCTAATCCAATGCTTTATCGTTAAACAGAGCGCGAGAGAGCAGCTGCAGGTAGATAACTGCTCCCTCGCTCACCGCCTACTTGCTGCCTGAGCTGGCCACCTCCATGCTCACCAGGGAGATTATTGCACATGTGCGCCAAATGCCACACAACACTAATCAGCATCTTCTCAGAGAGATATATTGAATCAACATATCTCTATGGGAAACATTCAGCACTAAATGCCAGTATATTAGATATAGCAGTGCCACAGGAAGCAACTCTAGTGGCCATCTGAGTGACTGCAACTGGAGGTGTTACTAGGTAGCAATGTAAACACTGCCTTTTCTCTGAAATAGCAGAGTTTACAATACTTAACCTGTAGGGACAGACCGTAGACACCAGAATCACTACATTAAGCTGTATTGGTTCTGGTGACTATAGTGTCCATTTTTAGTTATTCCTTTTTGGTCCCTCTATTTTCCCTTTTTGTATTTTTGTTTAAGTGTACTTTAATTATTTAGTTACACAAACATATTATACTTTTTGTTTTGGGGAGCATATTATTTAGGAATAGATGGATCTTAAGAATAGTTCCACTTGAGTTTTTGTGGTAGTTTACCAGAATCGGTCATTGCAGTAGTATAAAAATGTAATCAGAAGAACAAATTGCAAATATCATGGCCAGAGGAGAACAAAATGTTGGCAACCTAGATATTAAGAACTGGCACAAGAAAGAAAAGATAATAAATATAAATAAAGGCTTGCACCAAGGGAGGAGAGTATAGACATTGCCTATTCATCTGGGTAACACATAAGAAATAAACAACAAAGCACATCCTATATCCAACTCTTTGGTAAGTTTCTTTAGGGGGAAATGACAACAAGACTGCAAGCTGCAGCACTGAGAAATAAGCAAGTTGTACTACAAAAGAGCTGTAGACAGATCACAGCAGGGTTAGTGGGCCTTGTGGCAAACCTAGCCACTTTAGGTCATATTGCAGAACATTTAAAGGTTGTCTGAAATAGCGGTGTTAACCTGGTGTAAAAATGTATTCGTGTGTTTTAGAATAGAGAGCATGCATAGGCTAACAGCCGTGAATAAAATTGTCAGTTGACTCCCTGAACTGTGTTTCGTCCGGTTAATGGGGGATTTGGGATATTGCCTTCTTTTCCAGCGCTTTACTTTGGATTACCTTCTATACCAGCAGAGATCTTGGGATTTAATATTGCAGCTCCGCTACAATTGGTGGCAAGCGACGGGATCCAACCTTACACCCGAAAAGCGGTGTTCGTGTAATTGAAACTACCGAACAGGAAAGTGAATTGCAATTCGGATACAACAAAGAACCGAACACAGAGGTGAATGGAGACAGACTACACTGCATTGAAACGGCAGACATTAAAGGAACTATTGTAAGCCAGGGGTAAAATAACCAGCAATAAGCCAAAAGCTGTGCTGATTGCTGAATTGAAGGAGGGAGACAGAGCTCGCAGCGTTACACCCCCACCAGCCATGGAAGAAACCCCCTTCCAAAAGGAAATGAGGACCAGGATGGAATTTTTACCCCAGCCAGTACCCCTGGAAATACTGACAGTACTGATGGCGGATGTGCAGGAGTATGTGATGGCACGCAGACCGCAGGATGCTCCTCCCAGAGCAGAGTCTATTACTGCTTTAGTTGTCAGCCAGGTAAAGCCTAACATCCCATACCATGCGTTTAAAATGTTCTGTGAAGAGAAAGACGAGATTGATGGGTATCTACAAGACTTTGAGAGGCTATGTGACTTGCATGATTTGGAGCAGGCAGTGTGGGTACCTTTACTGGCAGGCAAATTGTCAGGTCAGGCAGCCGAAGCCTATCGGGCTGTACCCAGGGAGGACAGTAAAGATTATGCCCGGGTAAAACAGGCTATACAGGAAAGATCACTCTTAGCTTTGCTAGTTGCACTACACAGTACAGGTTGCCCAAGGCCAATGACAGTTACATTAATGTCATGTCAGGAACAAGATTGTAGACCTACACATGGCTGGAATGGGCTACACGACCATCGCCAAGCAGCTTGGTGCAAAGGTGACAAGAGTTGGCGTGATTATTCACAAATGGAAGAAATACAAAAAAACGGTCAGTCTCTCTAGGTGCTCCATGCAAGATATCACCTCGTAGAGTTTCAATAATCATGAGAACGGTGAGGAATCAGCCCAGAACTACAAGGGAGGATCTTGTTAATGATCTCAAGGCAGCTGGGACCATAGTCACCAAGAAAACAATTGGTAACACTCAGGGCCGGCCTTAGGGGTGTGCGAGCTGTGCGACCGCACAGGGCGCCATGGAACAGGGGGCGCCCTGTGGCCGACACAGCTCACTCATGGCCGGAGTGCAGGGGAGCTAAAAGAGGTACCTGGCTGGAGGATTAATTATTCTCCACCCGGTCTATTTAAAAAAAAAAAAAATCGCGGCAGAGGGGGCGGGGTTTACCGAGCGGCGGAGGCGGGGCTTATCGAGAGGCGGAGACGGGGCTAATACCTCCCGAAGCCCCTGCTGTACAGGAAGAGGGAAAGATGCTTCCCCATCAGCCAACTGCATCCACTGGAAAGAGGTAAGTGTGTGTGTGTGACTGTTTGCCTGTTTGTGTGACTGTCTGTCTGTGTGTGTGTGTGTGTGACTGTTTGCCTGTTTGTGTGACTGTCTGTCTGTGACTGCCTGTCCTTGTGTGTGTGTGTGTGTGTGTGACTGTCTGTCTCTGTGTGTGTGTGTGACTGTCTCTGTGTGTGACTGCCTGCCTGTGTGTGACTGTCTGTGTGTGTGACTGTCTGTCTGTGTGACTGCCCATGTATGTGACTGCCTGTGTGTGTGACTGTCTGTCTGTGTGACTGTCTGTCTGTGTGACTGCCCGTGTGTGTGACTGCCTGTGTGTGTGAGACTGTCTGTCTGTGTGACTGTCTGTGTGTGTGACTGTCTGTGTGTGTGTGTGACTGCCTGTCTGTGTGTGTGACTGACTGCCTGCCTGCCTGTGTGTGTCTGTCTGTAACTATCTGTCTGTGTGTGACTGCCTGCCTGTGTGTGTGACTTTCTATCTGTGTGACTGCCTGCCTGTGTGTGTATAACTGTCTATGTGTGTGTTACTGTGTGTCTGTCTGTGTGTGTGACTGCCTATGTGACTGTCTGTCTGTGTGTGTCGCTGTAGCTGTGCCATTGTTTGTGCCTGTGCCTGTATGTGTGACTGCCTTTAACTGAGTGTGTGTGTACATGCCTGTAACCGAGTTTAAATTTCCCCACCCCTTCCTGTCAAGGCCGCACTTTGACTGACAGACGCTCACTCACTGACAGACGCACACTCACTGACAGACACACACTCTCATATACACTGACAAACAATGACATACACACATACACTATTACTTGGACACACACTGACAGATGCACACTCTCACTGACAGACGCAAGCACTCACTGAAAGATGCACGACTCCACTGACCGACACATACACACTGACTGACACACACTCACTGACCGACACACACTCACTGACCGACACACACACTCACTGACCGACCGACACACTCACTGACCGACACATACACACTCACTGACCACATACACACTCACTGACTGACACATACACACTCACTGACTGACACATACACACTCACTGACTGACACATATACACTCACTGACCAACACACACATTCACTCACAGACACACACACATTCACTTACAGACACACACAATTACACACTTACAGACACACACACACACACACACACACACACATTCACTTCAAAATAAACACTCACAGACACACACACAGACATTTCCACTAACACTCACAAACTAATATTTTTTACATTTATTTTAAATCCACCCAGCCTCCCTGGGAAAGCTGGAGTGGATTTCTTACCAGCAGTCCAGTGTGGCTGCTGGGCAGGCAGGCAGGGGGCGCACAGGCTGAGTAAGCAGCGCTTAGTGATGCCGGGAGCCGGACTGACGTCATATTCTGGCTCCCGGCTTCATTAAGCGGCGCAGAGGAAGCTGAGCAGGAAGAGCTCAGGTGAGTATGCTCCTTCGCTGCCCGCTGCCAGCCTTGGGGGGGCTCAAAAGTGGCCAGCCGGTCAGCTCTTGAGCCCCCCAGGATGCGAGGCAAGCAAGGGATCTGCCTGGGGGTTTGGAGGGATGCTTTTTTTTGCCGCCCCCTGCAAAGTGGCGCCCAAGGCAGATGCCTTGTTTGCCTCGTGATACACACGTCCCCGGTGCCTGTGTGTGTTACTGTATTCAGGCAACTTGGTGGGAGGTGGGGGGGGCGCCGTGAAGACTTTTTGCACAGGGCGCCTAATTGCCTAAGGCCGGCCCTGGTAACACTGAAGTCCTGCAGTGCCCGCAAGGTACCACTGCTGAAGAAACCACATGTACAGGCTCGTCTGAAGTTTGCCAATGAACACCTGAATGATTCAGAGAAGAACTAGGTGAAAGTGTTGTGGTCAGATGAGACCAAAATCATGCTCTTTGGCATCAACTGAACTTGCCGTGTTTGGAGGAGGCGGAATGTTGCCTATGACCGTAAGAACACCATCCTCACCGTCAAACATGGAGGTGGAAAAATTATGCTTTAGGGGTGTTTTTCTGTTAAGGTGACAGGACAACCGCACCACATCAAAAGGACGATGGACAGGGTCATGTACCGTCAAAATATTGGGTGAAAACCTCCTTCCCTCAGCCAGGGCATTGAAAATGGGTCATGGATGAGTATTCCAGCATGACAATGACCCAAAACACACAGCCAAAGCAAATAAGGAGTGGCTCGAGAAGAAGCACATTAAGGTCATGGAGTGGCCTAGCCAGTCTCCAGACCTTAATCCCATAGAAAATCTGTGGAGGGAGCTGAAGGTTCGAGTGCCAAACGTCAGCCTCGAAACCTTAATGACCTGGAGAGGATCTGCAAAGAGGAGTGGAACAAAATCCCTCCTGAGATGTGTGCAAACCTGGTGGCCAACTACAAGAAACATCTGACCTCTGAGATTGCCAACAAGGATTTTTCCACCAAGTACTAAGTCAAAGGGGTCAAATACTTATTTCACTCACTGACATGCAAATCAATTTATAACTTTTTTGACATGCATTTTTCTGGATATTTTTTGTTATTCTGTCTCTCACTGTTAAAATACACATACCATTAAAATTAGACTGATCATTTCTTTGTCACTGGGCAAACGTTCAAAATCAGCAGGGGACCAAATACTTTTTTCCCCTCACTCTATACACACACACACACCTGTCTGTCTAAACAAAAACAAATAAAATGAGAAAGAAAGAGTACTCAGACTTAAAAGGGAATTGTCACTTCTCCATTATTAATATTATGTTTACTTACCCCTATATTTAACAAATATACATTTGTAAGCTGCGAACAATAAAATTAAATGTAGAAATCTATACCTCTTTAACATGCAACTGGTTGTCTTCATATTAGTACCCTGGCAATCACTACCATAAGCTCTGTCCTTTGCATCCAGTCAGCATAGAGAAAACATACAGTGCGAGAATTTAAACAATGTTTTTATTTCTCTTCTTCATTTGCCATGCTTGACCTATCTCGATTATAATGTAAATTGCTATATATTTACTATAAATTTAAAAGAAAAAAAGAACACACACAAATTGTCGCGACTACGAACATACTTGTTAATATAGTGACGTGAATGTAAAAATAACGGTATTCATCACAGTCATTATTGTATTACATGAGTGGTTTTACATGGATGGCAAATTCTGTCAAGAAACATATAAATCAAGCACAGACTATAAAAGAAAATTAGTGAAATTACTAACCTGGGGAGGTTCTGATACTAAGACTTTTGTTAAAATCTTCTTTGAGATTATCAAGCACATTTTTAAATTCTTGCTTGACATCTTCCAAGCTGATAATGTCTTCAACTAATGCAGCATTTATATTTACTTTGCTTTGGGACTGGGCTTTACTTTTGACTGAATGTAACAAAAAAATAAAAATAATTAAAAACATTCTTATTATATAATGTTTGACATACAATATAAAACCGTGTAAGAAACCTTTAAAAACCAACCAATCAGATTAACAAATGAGGCCCTATGTCAGGGTGTATGCAATGTATATGTTTATTAAAGAAATGTCATATAGCATTAAAACATTACAGGGATACTCTAAGCATCAGAAGAAATTTAGGTTATTGAAGTATGCCCCTGCAGTCTCACTACACATTTGTTGACATTTGGAATTTAAATAACTTTATGCATTCAGGCCTGACCACTATCTCCTAGTTGTGATTCACACAGCCTCTATAGACCACCTTTTATTCAGGTACTTCACAGGTAGGCTGTATAAACAATGGCAAATAAATTAGCAATGAGCCAGCAAGTGTCTAATTTACACACTAAAACTACTTGATTATTCTTTGTCCTAAACAAATGGCATCACATGATTTTAAAGTACAGTTTCCCATTTAAGAAACAAAACAAACAAAAAAATTAGAAAAATGTCCCACGCAGTTTATGTAAAAACACATGATTTATTCATTAAACTGAAAATGTTTAGGAATTGACCATGGAAAACAGATTTTAGGCCAAAATACATACTACCATGGCTTTCACTAAAGTGTGAATTGTCATTATTTCTATATGAAGTTTACATTTTGGGTCAAAATAGCACTAGGGACTCTTCGCACAATAACCACTACAACCAAATGTAATGGTTATGGTGCTTAGGGTGCCCCTTAAAATAGACAACATAGGCAACAAGAGGAAAAATGGTCCAGAGAGCAAATGATACGTTAAAGTGCTACAGATATTTAATGTAGGTCATGTTGTTCCCACTAGCACCAAGCAGTAGTGCAGGCTTGCCCAAACTCCGGCCCTTCAGATGTTGCTGAACTACAACTCCCTAGAGGGCCGGAGTTTGGGGATGCCTGCAATAGTAGTTTTGGTCATTGTAGCACTGAATTAATCTTTATTGGGCTTATTCTATACTGCAGCAACCTACCCTTTTCTCTCTTTTTTCCCTTTAAACAAATAGATACATGTAATGTTATAATAATATACTATTTATGTGTTTATTATAATTTATCTTATTGTACAACATTTATTAAATAAAAAATAATTTTAGAACTTGCAAAGAAGAAAATAACACAAGTGTAACGAAAAGATACTTTATATGTATTTGCAATCAATGAAGACATAATTGAGCTGTATATGTTATTGTGATTGGAGCTTTCAATATTCACTGGCAAAAACTGTTTATTATACTTAAAGGAACAGTATAGTGTCATGAAAACACTTGTTTTCCTCGCACTATAGGGTTATTAGGTCCCCCCTCCCTCGGAACCCCCCTTCAGCCACTTACCTTAATCCAGAGCGGGCTCCTTCGGTGCTGGTGACCTCTTCTCCCCCTGCAGACATAAGCTCTGAATTCACATGCACAGCCAGAGCCGTGTGCGCATTCAAACCGCCCATAGGAAAACATTACTCAATGCTTTCCTATGGACGTCCAACGTGAGTTCAATGCGATTTTCGCATTAAGAATCGCAGAAGCGGCCTCTAGTTGCTGCCAGGGAGACAGCCACTAGAGGTTGAATTAACCCTCAATGTAAACATAGCAGTTTCTCTGAAACTGCTATATTTTCAACTGCAGGGTTAAAACTAGGGGAACCTGGCACCCAGACCACTTAATTGAGCTGAAGTGGTCTGGGTGCCTTCACTGGTCTTTTAAGTTTATATGAAAGATGAGCTATACACAATAGTGAAGAATATCAACAGTATACTAAAGTGACAGGCAAGGTGAATACAAACCTCACCTTTGCTTTTTTTGGTGGCGAAGTGTCTGTCTAAAGCGGTGATTTGGGGACTATGTTTTATTAATGGTAAATTTGCAGACCCCACTGAGCTCAGTTGCATGAGCACAGGTCGAAATCTCCCAAGACATCTTAGAGCCATTGAAGAATCTGTAAAATAATAAATTAATCAAAACCTTAAAGCTTCAAAAGCACAAATACAAAAATCACACAGAACAAAACACTTGACCAAGGAGCATAATGTTCCTTTAATCTGAAATGCTTACAGTAGTTTAGCAAGTATTTGTCAGCAACTCCAAAGTTTTGATTTTCACATAAATGCCTAATAAATAATAATAATGCTAGCAAAAATAATATCTGATTAACCCATGCAATGCATTCTATTTCATGCAAAATTATCGAAATGATCCCATCTTGGTATAAGGTAGTTTATAGAAACATAGAATGTGACGGCAGATAAGAACCAGTCGGCCCATCTAGTCTGCCCAATTTTCTAAATACTTTCATTAGTCCCTAGCCTTATCTTATAGTTAGGATAGCCTTATGTCTATCCCACGCATGCTTAAACTCCTTTACTGTGTTAACCTCTACCACTTCAGCTGAAAGGCTATTCCATGCATCCACTACCCAATTACATACAAATTAAGGTAAAATTATCTAAATATTAAAACATTTACATTTTCCCATCATACCATAATATACTATTTTCTATGGTGACACGAATCTATTTCTTTGACAGTTTTATTCATTAACTGGCAGTCTACACTAATGTATTTTACCATAGATCTATGAGAAAATTGTCCCCCCCCGTATTCTAATATTTCATATAACTGTAAACTAAAACACTGCATGCCATATCGCACGCGTACTCCATACTTGCAAAGCTTTTACACCGACCTCTACGCAAAACACACTTTATTTTTTCTCCCAGTCGTGTCTGATGATGTCACTCCAACGCGACGCCGGTGAGTTCGTCGCCTGCTGTGTGACGTCAGTACGCCTCGGTTAGGACGATGGTTCGAAAGCTGGAATCAGGTGGCGATACTTAGGTAATGAAGAAGTGATACAAAGTTGTCAAGTTCACTGGTGGTACAGTGATTGGTATGTACTCTTGGCACCATAGACTTTTATACAATTTATATTTCTGGGTGAGATTGCTTTTAACGAAGGGTCCTTAGGGTAGAGGTAGATATTGCTTGGAGGGTAATAATATATAACAAGGACTTACATTATCATCAAGGGGTTTAATATTAAAATTGTCTGAGAACGAGGGTATAAAGTTTTAAATGTGTATCCGTATTTATCAAGGCAGAACATCCAACTAACAGAGTTATTTACTAAGTGACAATACAAGGTGACTAGCAAATCTAGTACCTGAATCAAAGCATAGCTGATTTAGAGACTGTTTCCAGTTTTGCTATTTTGATCTTAAATTTGAGATTCAAAATTAACTCTCACTTTAGTAAATAGCCCTGTATATGTTTTTGTTGATCCGAAATTTGCAATTCACACCACAGTTGTTCTATGGTCACTTGCTAAATGTGGAAATTGTTGGATTAAATATAGTTACATAGTTGTCTAAGTTGAAAAAAAAAAAAAAAAGACTGATAGTCCATTAAGTTCATCTGTAAAGCCCATTCTTTTATGCTTTGCTCAAAAGAAGACATAAAACCCAATTTTACCAAATTGCAGTCAACATCCTCCTTGACTCCATAATGGCAATTCAAATATATGTTTTGAAAAGGTTGTGAAATATAACATAACCTTTTCTGTTATTGTTGCTGTATTCTTTAAAGGGGCATTCCAGGCACGCAGACCACTTCTGCCCATTGGAGTGGTCTGGGTGCCAGCTTCCATCACCCTTAACCCTGCAAGTGTAATTATTGCAGTCTTTATAAACTGCATTATTACCTTGCAGGCTGAAGTTAGACAGCCACTAGAGGTACTTCCATTTTCCTAAAACAAGAAAAGTGTTTTAAACGATGCTGGACGTCCTCACGTTATGCATGAGGACCTCCAGCATTGCGGGAATCACCATAGGAAAGCATTGAATAATACTTTCCTATGGGGAGGTCTAATGCGTGCGGCCAGGAGTGTGGGCGGAGCCTGACTAAAGTCACTGAAGGGGTTCTAACCCCTTCAGCAACAAGGGATGGTGGTGAGAGGGAGAGGGGCACTGCAGGAACCTGCAGTGCCAGGAAAGTGGATATGTTTTTCTGGCGCTAGAGAGTCCCTTTAACCCTTCAAATGCAGCAAATTACCTCCAGGATCCATTTGTGTTGTCCCATCTCGAATTTAACCCCATCCTTATCCCCATCACTTCTTACACTGTTTACTCATCACATTTATCCCTACTGTACAGCCTGCTTTTACCCAGTTAATGCATACCCCCACAACCCACATTGATCTTTCTCATAGTAATTTTTTTACCTTTACTTTTTGCCATGTTTGATGATGATTTTAAGATCAATTATAGTGACTGCAGTATTTTGTAATGTGAAGGGTTAAGTTGGGGAATCCAGTGGGAATGTGAGATATTGAATGTTAGTGGACAGATCCTGGCTGCACAAGAATAGAAAATGGTGGGAGTTGAACTCTTAGGGAATCAATTTACTGCACCATGAATTATTAAAGAAACTGTTTGGATCCAAAGCTGTTATGGTGCCCAAAGGTTCCGGTCATGTTCGTAGCTTAAGGTTGAAAGCTGTTCTCTAACAGTTTAACCCCAAAGGTTGCTCTCCAGCACCAGATCTCCCTGTCCCCAACAGCATCTCGTTTCTCCAAAGCAGTTTGAGGAAGCACGGAGTGCTACTAGACAGGGACTGGCTTAGAATGTTCATCTGATCCTCTATGCCAATCAGTAGTTCCCTATTCATAACAAGTGCACTTTTTTGTGAAATAAAATATCCCTAATTAATATGCTTTAAGGGACACTATAGTCACAAGAACAACTACAGCTTATTGAATTTGTTCTGGTGAGTAGAATCATTACCTTCAGGCTTTTTTGCTGTAAACACTGTCTTTTCAGAGAAAAAGCAGTGTTTACATCACAGCCTAGTGATAACTTCACTGGCCACTCCTCTGATGTCTGTTAGAGATCATTCCTGGGTCATGACTGCCTAAAATGCATCCAAAACATTCAGTATGTCCTCCCTCTGCAGACACTGAACTTTCCTCATAGACATTCATTGATTCTATTCATTGATTCAAAACCCATCTCTTTAGGAAGGCTTATGGCCTCCAAGACTAACCCCTACTTCACATACCTGTCTCTTGCCCTCTCCTAAAGGGCAGCCCACCTTATTTGATTGCAAATTCCTGTCCTAATGTGTTTTACAACCCACCTCCTATAGAATGTAAGCTCGATTGAGTAGGGGCCTCTTCAACCTACTGTTCCAGGACAGAGAGGAACAGGGGCCATTGAAGGGACAGGAACGTCCCGAGCGCGCAGCCCGTTTCAAGGATTGCCCACTTTCAAGGATCATTGAGTGACCTGCCATATTGACCAGATTCTGCAGAGAATGGATGATTGACTGTCTTTTCACCAAAGAACAATCATTTTCACCCTCATCTATTATACACCATTTACAGACCTCAGCATCCTCCTACTGTGCATACTTTAAAGCCAACTTCTACATCGGTGAGATCCATCCATACACTAATGAATTATATAGTGCACTATATTTTGGGCTATTAGTCATCAGGACTGTATTATATATATTTTTTCTTTTTCTTCTTTTTTCTTTTCTTTTCTTTTTTATATATTTTTTCATTTTTTTATTGTATTTTTTCTGGACTTTTTCCATTTTTTGGATCATTACCCATTGTAAATGGATACATAGCTCATAAAATTCAGCACAGGGAGGATTTTGTGTGTATATGTAAATAATCTATGTACATAGGATGAAATGAGTGTTACTATGATTAACTTTATGAACTTATCAAATAATTATTACAATAAATATTTTTGCAATCATATACAGGATTAGATTTTACTGTAATCGTTTTGAGTGCGGTATTCATATTTGTTTATGATTTAGATTAGGAGGTTGTTGTGGGGTTAAACCTCGAATACCTGCACCTTGCATAATTGAGTGCCAGCACATATTGTGTTTTTGTATATTGTTCCTGTAAGTTTATTTGTAATTGTCCTATTTATAGTTAAATCCCCTCTCATAATATTGTAAAGCGCTACGGAATCTGTTGGCGCTATATAAATGGCAATAATAATAATAATAAAATAATAATTCATCTCTATGAGGAGATGCTGATTGGCCAGGGCTGTGTTTGAGTCATGCTGGCTCTGCCCCTGATCTGCCTCCTTGTCAGCCTCAGCAAATCCTATGGAGAAGCATTGTGATTGGATCAGGCTACCACTTCTGATGATGTCAGTAGACTGCTTGTTTTTCTGAGACAAAAAGCATGCAGAGTTACAGCTTCAGGCTTGATTAACACCCTAAGGACTGAGCCAAATGTACACATTGTGATCAAAACAAAACGTAAACAAAAACTTGAAATTGCGCTATATGTGCACCCACACTTATTATATATAATTTTATTCAGGGGAAACAGGGCTTTCATTTAACATCAAATATTTAGGTATAAAACATAATTTAATATGAATAAAATATTAAAAAATGCGAGAAAATAAGAATTTTAAAATAAATGTTTAGTTCTACGTGACATTCTAACTGTGAATGTCATAATACGGTTTGCTTTTACTGCAATAAAATACACATATTTGTATTCATCGATGTCTCACGTGTAAAACAGTACCCCCTATGTACAGGTTTTATGGTGTTTTGGGAAGTTACAGGGTCAAATATAGCATGTTAAATTTTTCAATTTTTTCGAATTGAAATTCACCGTATGGTAACCCAGGAATGAGAATTACCCCCATGATGGCATACCATTTGCAAAAGTAGACAACCCAAGGTATTGCAAATGGGGTATGTTGCAAGGACCCTGCAATCACATGGCCCAGGGGGGCCAAAGAGGAAGGAGGGGGACTCCCTGGGCTCCCAGATAAGTCCCCATACCGCGATCACCGGCAACCGGGTAAGTACATAGAACGGCAGGGACGTGCTATGCCGCCTCTGGCGTTTAGAGCCAGGTCCCTAAGGACGGCATAGCACGTCCCCCGTCCTTAAGGGAATACAGTAAGATTTTGCTATATTTATGGAGGCATGAGGGGCCCAGGGGGGCTAGATGGTGGTTTTAACACTATAGGGTCAGGAATACATGTTTGTGTTCCTGACCCTATAGGGATTCTTTAATCTGATATGTAATGACTCAATGGGCAATGTTGTATGGCAATAAATACTCAGATTTATAGGCTGAGAAATAAATATATATTTTCTTTAACTCAAGTTTTGAGTGCGGTATCATGCTTGTCTATTGTATATGTCCAAGGTATTTATATGTGGGCAACCCTGATACCTCCACCATTATGGATAAGAGAGTGCCTGTACATGTTGAACTTTCTTCCACATTGTTATGTTGCTGCCTTATGCTACAATTGTTACTTATTTTCAACTTCGATCTACACTCATTACCCCATAATGACAAAGCAAAAACAAGATTTGACACAATTGCAAATATATTAAAGGGCCACTATAGGCACCCAGACCACTTCAGCTGAATGAAGTGGTCTGGGTGCCAGGTCCATCTAGGGTTAACCCTGCCTGCTGTAAACATAGCAGTTTCAGAGAAACTGCTATGTTTACAGCAGGGTTAATCCAGCCTCTATTGGCTGTCTCATTGACAGCTGCTAGAGGCGCTTCCACGCTTCTCACTGTGATTTTCACAGTGAGAAGACACCAGCGTCCGTAGGAAAGCATTGCTCTTGCTACGCATGCGCATTCAGCGGATGACGTCGGAAGAGGGAGGAGAGTCCCCGGCGCTGGAGAAAGGTAAGAATTTAACCCCTTCCTCTCCTTTCAGAGGGTGGGGGGGGCCCAAAGACCCTATAGTGCCAGGAAAACAAGTTTGGATTTTCTGGCACTATAGTGGTCTTTTAAATAGACAAAACTGCAATATCACATTGACAAAAGTATTACATAGAAACATAGAATGTGACGGCAGATTAGAACCATTCGCCCCATCTAGTCATTCCAATCTTCTAAATACTTTCATTTAGTCCCTGGCCTTATCTTATCGCTAGTACAGCCTTATGCCTATCCCACGCATGCTTAAAGCGGCACTGTCATGCCAAACTTACCTTTCCCCAATCGATTCCTCTTCTCTCTCTCTGTCAGGATTTGTTCTTCATTTCTTCCTGTGTGCTTTAGTTTTCTTTAAAACATAAGACAACGTAGGGACTATTTGCTCTTATGGAGGTTTCCACGCCTGACCAGCGGAGGAGCAAAGTGTGCTCCTTTTCTTGTGGGCAGAGAAATGTGTCCACAATTCTTACCTTTCCTCCTTTCCTTGCGATGCTTCCTGTCAGTATTCCAGAACATCCTGTCACTTAGACAGAATGCCTGTGAAACTACCAAATTTCATCCTAACAGAATGAGAGCAGTTTCTCCATTCGTGTTAGGATTCAACTCGGGACTTTGTTCATATCGGAATTTCATTCTAATGAATGAAATTCTGATCTGATTCGTACCACGGCTGCCTCTTGCAGCTGCTTAGTAGATAACTCCCTAATTCCCACAGTAGTAGGGAGCTATCTACCAAAAGGCTGAAAGACCTAAATTGGTCTTTCAACCAAATTTACTAATACTAAGTTTAAAAACTGTTATAAACAAAAACAAAAAAACCCTAGTGTCCACCCTCCCGAGCCCCCACCTGTACTGCACGAGTGGGTGCTATTAAACTGAAGGGGGGACCTAGCGTGTGTGTCCCGGCCCTGACCCAAAATGAAAATGGGAGGTGAGCTATTGCTCTTCCCCGGCCCCTACCCATGAGCGGCGGGTGGGGACCCTAAATGAAAATGTTGAACATTCTGACATACAATGTTTCTAATATTCTGAGGCGGAATGTTCTATGGACACTGGGTGTTGTGGAAAAGCAATTCCAGGGCAGAGTTTAGTAAATGGAGCTGTCACTATGTAATTTAAATTAATGTCCCTGATGCAGATTTTTCATCAGAATCATTTAAATAAATAGCATATGTTCTCCCTTAATGAATATGGTTGTCAGAGAAGGGCCACTGATGCACTAATTACACAATATTAGACAATGGAGTAAAATGCCTCCCAGCCCAGAGCTAGTCACACACACTCTCCTTGCAGCCATGGGATAACATGGGGCCCCTGGGAAGTCTGATTGGGGAGCTGGCTGCTGTAGAGGACTGCAATTCCTAGCAAATCTCTATAGGACTGCGCTACCCCTCACACTCCGTCAACCAAAGTAGTGATCTGTGACTGAGCACCATAGGAAGTGGAGTACACAGCAGCCGGAGAGTTTCCTGTTCCGCTTGCTGGTGTCGAGCTGTTCCACTGACATGGTGCTGGCTGGTATCACAGACACTGGATTCTCCTGACCGGACTCTCTGCACAGCCTTCAACCCCGCTGGCTCGTGCCAAAACAGCTCTGGATCCAGCGTGTTTGAGTCATGTGACGAGGCAGAAGCTCCTCCCACTCTTTCGGCTCTCTTTGAAATGGAATAGGCTCATTTTCGGCCGCCAAACTTTTGGTGCATCCCTAGTCTCCAGTACTGCGTTAAATACTCCAAGTGAGGTCTCACTGGTGTTCTGTACAATGGCATGAGCACTTCCCTATTTCCACTGCTAATACCTCTCCCTATACAACCAAGCATTCTGTTAGCATTTCCTGCTGCTCTATTACATTGTCTGCCTACCTTTAAGTCATCTGAAATAATTACCCCTAAATTCCTTTCCTCAGATGTTAATGTCAGGACTCTGCCCTTGGGTTTATACGTCCAAGATGCATTATCTTGCACTTATCCACATTACATGTCAACTGCCACAACTCTGACCGTTTTTCTAGTTTACCTAAATCATTTTCCATTTGGCTTATCCCTCCTGGAACATTTTGTATAGTATGCCCTATTGTATATTGTTAATTAAGTCATCAATTATAAAGTCAAGTAATAACCTTACCTGAAGTTAAGCTCAACGAGCCTTTTAGGGCTGCCTAAGTAATTTTTACCGGGTGTGCAACTAGCTCCTGGCACAAAAGTGCAAATTTCTCAGTTTCCATCAGAAACATTGAACATACAGATTACTACCACTTTGATCATTTCTAGAAGCTTAAGTGATCATGGTGGTTGGAGTAACATTTAAATCCGTTCTTAGTTGAAGCACCTATGGCAGTTATTAAAGGCTCAAGTCTTTTTGGGTATCATGCGACGAACTGTGCACACCTGGATGTGGGTAGCTACTGCAGTTCATTTTTACAGTTCCTGTCAAGCTCTATCAGGTTGGATGGACAGTATCTGTTGACAGACAATATTAGGCCTCTTCAAGGATGTTTGCTTGGGTTCAAGTGTGGGATATTTACAGAGTTGTCCCCAGTGGTGTATCCTGGTTTTGTGCTGCCCTAGGCAGGACAAAACTCAGGCACCCCCCCGCGCCACCCCCACCCGCGCAACCGCCACCCAACCTTCCCCCCTGCTCCGCCTTCTAAATACACACACACACATTCACTGACAGATACGCATTCACTAGCTAACAGAAACACACAGTCACTAACAGACACACACTCACACACTCACTAACAGACACACACACTCACAGGCAAACACACACACACACTAACAGGCAAACACACACACTAACAGACATCCACACTAACAGACATCCACACTAACAGACATCCACACTAACAGACATCCACACTAACAGACATCCACACTAACAGACATCCACACTAACAGACATCCACACTAACAGACATCCACACACTAACACTAACATACATACACTAACATTAACATACACACTAACACTAACAGACACACACACTAACATACACACTAATATACACACAGACATCCACACACACTAACATACACACACTAACACTAACATACACACACTAACACACACATACTAACATACACACACTAACACTAACATACATACACACACTAACATACACACTAACAGACATCCACACACACACTAGCAGACATACACACACTCACTAGTGTTTTTTTTATTTAACCCCCCCAGCCTCCTTACCTTTGGTAATGCTGGGGGGGTTCTTCCTCTCCCTGGGGTCCAGTGCCTGCAGCGCTGGGCGGGCGGGCTGCAGGCACGGCGAGGGAGCTCTTCCCCTGAGCGCTCAGGGGAAGAGCTCCCTCGCCGGCCGGCCGCCCGCCCGCCCGCCCGCCCAGCGCTGCAGCCACTGCCGCCCAGCGCCCAGAATGTCTGTTAGCCGCGAGGCTAACAAGACATTTGCCTTGGGCATTTGGGGGGTGGTTTTTTGACGCCCCCTGAAAAATGCCGCCCAAGGCAAATGCCTTGTTTGCCTCGCGGCTAATACGCCCCTGGTTGTCCCTATGCCACTCTTGGGCTTTCCAAATCATGTCAATAGAAACTTCCCAAAGAAGATCAAGAAAAATTGGATTCATCTCAGCTAAATTTTAGAGGGACACTGTAAAGTCACCATAGCAACTTTAGCTTAAAGGACCACTATAGTGCCAGGAAAACATACTCAGGGTCCCCCTCCCGCCCGGCTCTGGAAAGGGGAAAGGGGTAAAAACTTACCTTTTTCCAGCGCTGGGCGGAGAGCTCTCCTCCTCCGATCCTCCTCTTCTCCTCCCCGTCTGCTGAATGCGCACGCGCGGCAAGAGCTGCGCACGCGTTCAGCCGGTCACATAGGAAAGCATTCATAATGCTTTCCTATGGACGCTGGCGTGCTCTCACTGTGAAAATCACAGTGAGAAGCACGCAATCGCCTTTAGTGGCTGTCAATGAGACAGCCACTAGAGGAAATAGGGGAAGGCTTAACCCATTCATAAACCCATTTATGGAAAAAATGGGTTAACCCTAGCTGGACCTGGCACCCAGACCACTTCATTAAGCTGAAGTGGTCTGGGTGCCTAGAGTGGTCCTTTTAATAAAGCAGTTTTTGTGTATAGATCATGCCCCTGACGTCTAACTACTCAACTGTCTGTCATTTAGAAATTAAATCACTTTTGTTTTTGGATCAACAGCAAAAAACAAATGTGAGGAAGGCTGAACTTGATGGACGCAAGTCTCTTTTCAGCTATGTAACTATGTCCATGCAGCCATAGCCACACCTTGCCTGGCTGTAGCTGACACAGCCTGCATGACAAAAAAATGGTTTCATTTTCAATCATGTTACTTTAAACGTTTGTATCTCCTGTCTAAATTGAACTTTAATTAAATGCAAGATGCTCCTGCAGGGTCTAGCAAGCTATTAACATAGCAGGAGATAATAAATTCTAAATTAAACCGGATTTGCAATAAAGGAAGTGTAAACATTAGATGACTCTTTACAGGAAGTGTAAGGGTTGCATAAACAAAGTGATTTAAATCCTAAATGGCAGAGAATTGAGCAGTGAGACTGCAAGGGCATAGTCTATAAACCAAAATTGCTTCGTTAAATAAAAGTTGTTTTGATGACCATAGTGTCCCTTTAAGTATCATAGCAAAGGTTTTTGGGACTGTCAAATCAATGTAATACTTCAGTTTCATGTTGTTGTTTTTGTAATAAATTAGCAGTTTTTAAAAATCTGTTTTTTTTTTTTTGTTTGTTTGTTTTTTTGCTTTGTCTTAATGGGGTATTGAGTGTAGACTGATGTTATAAAAAATATATATATATATATATAGCCAAATGCTATGACATAAAAATGTAAAGAAAAGCCGGGTCAGTATATTTACTTATTGCTAGTTACTGTAACTGCGTGTGCAGAAGTTTTATTACGCTTTAGCAATCTAAGTTTTGTCCCACGTTTGGATATATTAATTGAGTGCTCTTGTTCGGTACATGCCTTCAGTGCTGAATTGTAAGATTTATTTTTTTTCTGTATTGAATTGCTGTAGCCTTTTCTGTGCATCCAAAATCAGGGCACAGGAGGTCCCATGAGGCTCCCAATGTTCAGAAGGCCCAGGAGGCGTTTGCATGTCATGGCATTCCAAATGCGTTACTGTGCACGTAAAAACACAGCACCATGTTCTAGCTAAAAAATGTATTTACGTCAGCTAATTACAGCTGTGGTGCCTGTCTGACAGCAAGGGTGCTTTTCTAGCCAGGGATACCATCTCCAAACCCCCCCAACCCATACCCAGCTCATACTGATGACGTACTGATTACCCTTACTGACCCAGTTACTTCGTAACCCATGTTAGTATTTCAAATTACGAACTTAATGCTGATAAGTCCTCGGTTATGCCTAAGAACATAGACAAATATTCTTTGCATTTTTTTTTTTTTTTAAAGACTGATTTTCGAACTCACTTTAATTATAACAAATAACGTTTTAGGTTTAATAATAGCAAATAGCAATAGTAAATCTATGATTTGTCACCTTAAAATACTTATGTATCATCTTTTTTTTATTTAGTACATGAATATTATTATATATTTTTCAAATGACTAGTCCTGCATTGCCCTAAAAAATGGAAATGCCAGAAAAGAGTCAACTTCTTCCCATGAAAACTGGAGGCGGAAAAGGCTCTCTGCAGCATCGGAAATTCATGAGTATCATGAATAGATAATGGAAAAACCATGAAAAGGGGCATTTATATCTACAACTGTTCAAATTACAGGGATCAGAAGCATGGAAAGAGCTTCCAAAACTGGATGTTCCTATTGCCAAGTTATCAAAGAAGACTAAAATTCCGATTGGGGAAGTAGCAGGACTCCATGGATCACAGAAACATCTTGCAGATGTTTTTCCTAGACTCAGCATATCAGAGCAGGAGCTTTAGTGGCAATAGCGTAGAATATTTTTTTGCAGTCAGTGAAAGAATGCCTCACAGGGGATTCTGCAGATGATTCTTCTCTTAAGCCACATCAGTCTAGCGGATACTTTTATTTTTTATTTTTTTTTAAGCAAAATGACAGACTAGGCTCTAGAAATCTCTGCCAGAAACATGGGATTTTCATCAGTAGCCAGAAGAGCTATCTGGCTTAAAGGACAACTCCACAGGTCCCAACACTCCTAAAAGAAACCCACAGTTTAATATATATACCCTCAATGAATACATGTATGCATATTTTCATGTATGTATTCTTTGGGAGTATAGTCTAAAAGAGCTTACAAATGCTGGAGTTCTTATGACTGCAACCTTTGTAAGCCCTCCCCTTTTTTACTGGAAGAGACTCTGTCTCTTCACAGGAAAATACCCATACTCGATGAGAAGCCTCTGACTTTGTGCACGCGTGCGCCGGCTCGTGCATGCAGACTCACACTATTGTGTGCATGTGCACAGTCATACACTGAAGTGTGCACGCATGCGCACCCTATTGCGTGTGCACATCTGAGTCTGAGGAGCTGATCTGAGTGCTGTCAGGGAGGGAGGGTGAGGCAGGAATGCTCAAGTAGAGAGTGTGCCTGTAACTTCTTTTAGCTCAGGGGGCCTAACGGAAGTAGGAAGGAATATAAATTAACTAGGGAACTCCCCCCTGGCTGTCAATCAAACAGCCAGGGGGGAGTTCCCTAGTTAATTAATAAAAGTTATGTTTTCTCATAGAAAACATCTAAAAAAAAATTAGCTTGCTAAAGTGCTTTATGTGAAAAGAGTGCTCTTTTTTATTTTAAAAAAGTACAGATTTCAGTAAAAATTGCACTTTTATAAATTAACTAGTTGTACCCCACTGGCTGTCAATCAGACAACTGGTCCTGTTACTTCCTGGTTGTTTAGCTCCAGGAGCTCAACTCAGGAGGCAGGCAATTGCCCAAAGTACACGCCTTGCAAAGCCTTGTCAGATATCTGCATTACAAGGTCTGTGGTTGGACAGCCAAAGAAAGTCTGGGCTGGGGAATAAGGAGAAGGCTTACAAAAGCTGCCAACGAGACCTGCAGCTCTTGAAAGCTGTTTTATATTTAATTAAATGTATGCATTTTTGTTTGTTTTTTATTTGAGCAGTGGAATGTCCCTTTAATTTCAAGGATAGGAGCATAGAAACATCTAAATCCTCCTTTGCACATTTGATTACAGGAGCTATTCAAATAGCCTACAAAGAAGTATTTTTGGCTTTCAATATTAAAGCTCATTCTCCCAGAGCAATGGCTACGATTTTACCTAAGAAAGCAATGGCATTTCCTGAAAACATTTGTAGAGTAGCGACATGGTCTTCATTCAATACCTTAATTCATCATTACAGGCTAGACATCTTTTCCTCAGCAGAAGCTTCTTTCGGGCTTAAGGTGTGACAAGTATGGTTTTATAGGAGTGACCTACACTTTTTATTTTAGGGAACTTGTTAAATGCGTCCTGTACTGCTGCTACATGCCAGGAAAAACTGAATTTTTACTTACCTTAAATGTATATATTCCCTCTATTTCTAAATTATTACCGTATATACTCGTGTATAAGTCGATCTCATGTATAAGTCGAGGGCAGTTTTGTGACCAACAATTGTGAACTATGCTATGCCTCGTGGATAAGTCGAGGGTAAAACTTGGGGCTATGAAATTCTGTGATTTTTATAATTATATACACACACACACTCATACAAACTGCATTATATACACACACACTCATACATTCTGCATTACACACACTCATACACTATACACACACATACACTCTGCATTATACACACACATACACTCTGCATTATACACACACTCTGCATTATACACACACACTCACACACACTGCATTATACATACACACTCACACACACTCTGCATTATACACACACACACACTCACACACACACTCTGCATTATACACACACACACTCATACACACACTCTGCATTATACACACACTCATACACACACTCTGCATTATACACACACACACTCATACAAACAATCTGCATTATACACACACACTCATACAAAAACACACTGCATTATATACACACACACTCTGCATTATACACACACACTCATACAAACAATCTGCATTATACACGCACACTCATACAAAAACACACTGCATTATATACACACACACACTCATACAAACAATCTGCATTATACACACACACACTCATACAAACACACACTCTGCATTATATACAGACACACTCATACAAACACACACTCTGCATTATATGAGAGCATTCTTTACATCTCTATCTTGTGAGTGTACTAAATTGTTATATAATGCAGAGTGTGTGTGTTTGTGTATAATGCAGAGTGTGTGTTTGTATGAGTGTGTATACAATGCAGAGGGTGTGTTTGTATGAGTGTGTGTTTGTGTGTGAACTGGGTGGGGGCGGGCATTTTTATTATTTTTAATTTTAATATTTAAAAAAATTTATTTTAGTAGTTTTTTTTATTTTAGTATTATTTTTTTATTTTATTATTTACTTTTTTAATTTTAATATTTAAATTTTTTTAATTGTAATATTATTTGTTTTATTATTTAATTTTTATTTTCGTCCCCCCCTCCCGGCTTGTTAGCTGGCCAGGGAGGGGGGCTCTCATTCCCTGGTGGTCCGGTGGATGGGCTGTGTAGGGGGGGCTGGCAGAGAGCTGTTACTTACCTTTCCTGCAGTTCCTGTCAGCTCCCTTCTCCTCTGGTCCAGTCAGCTCGGCTGTAAGTCTCGCGAGAGCCGCGGGGTCAGAGCCCGTGGCAACGCTCCGCGCGGCAGTCACACCGCGAGACTTACAGTGGATGAGAAGGGAGCTGACAGGAGCTGCAGGAAGTTAAGTAAAAGCTATATGCCAGCCCCCAACAGGACCGCCGGGCTTGTAATGAGCCCGGCAGTCCTGCTCTGTATTATGGCAATGTAAGTTGCCATAATACAGACACTGACTCGAGTATAAGTCGAGTGGGGTTTTTTGCTGAACTAGACTTATACTTGAGTATATATGGTATTTTTTTTTCATACTTTGGCTCAGTGTATATATTCCCTCTATTTCTAAATTACTTTTTTTTTTTCATCATTTGGCTCAGTGTGATTTTTTTTTTTTGCTATAACTTGGGTGCCTAAGTTTCGGAAGGTGTGAGGTGGTGGGACATGCTATCTCATAAATTTTAGTTTTGAAGGCAATACTATAAAAATGGAATGTATGGGATACGGTTGTACAAAATCTAAAACAGGGAACACAAAAAAAAACATATAGTGTAACAGTTATATGCAAATGTTCATGTGCAACAATTTAGTACACTCATGAGATAGAGATGTAAAGAGCACTCTAGGGTGCCGACCCCGATTTGAATGAGAGCATTCTTTACATCTCTATCTTGTGAGTGTACTAAATTGTTGCGCATGAAAATTTGCATATAACTGTTACACTATATTGTTTTGTGTTCCCTGTTTTAGATTTTGTACAGCCGTATCCCATACGTTCTCTGTTTTCCTATATATATTGCACTAAGGTCGTTTTTTGGGTTACGATCTTGGGAGGCTGTCTATTTAAATTTTTAAGATAAGTATATTTTATACTTAAGCTACTACACTATTCACATTGTGGTGTTGTATTTGTTGTTTGTAATACTATAAAAGGCTGTTTTCCTGGCAAACAGCACCCTTTAGTGCCCACCCTATGTCAAGCCCCCCTTCTGTGACTTCCCTCAGTGCAGTTCTGATGTTCCTCGGCGCTGTTCGTGCTCCACCTCGGCGGGTGGACCTAATCTGCATGCATGCCAATGGCGGCTTTCACATTATTACTTTCCCCATCAGAAAGCAAAAGTTGCCTAACGACCCTGAAGTCCCTCTAGTGGCTGTCTGGTAGAGGTGGAGTTAATACACAAAGGTAATTATTGCAGTTTATTATAACTGCAATAATTACCTTTGCAGGGTTAAGGGACCTGCCAATATGCACCCAGATCACTTCAATCACTGGGTGCCTATAGTGTTAATTTTTAATAGGATGCTACCTCTCCACTAGACTTAGGAATTATCTCCTGTCCTGCTGCTCCTCCTGTACAGTTCTCATTAGGCTGCATTGGGAAATACAAGTAGACAAAATGAATGAATAGAAATTTTGGAGGGCATACAAAGGTTTCATATAAGAGAGATACACTCAATTAAAACAAAAAGCATAATTGAATGTATGCATGGTTTCATTGGAGTATATTTGCTAAACAGTAATTTCTTTATTTTTAATGTTGGAATTTGACTCTGACTTTCACTCCTCTTCGTCTGACTCTTAATCTCTGGGCAGAGGTACAGTGTCAATGCCCACAGCCATCAACAGTGATGGCTGCAGGGAATTGGCTCTGTCTATGGAGGGTCTAGCGGTATTGTCCACGGACCACAATTCTGTACTTTCGCTCATGAAGTTGAAGTCTTTGTGAGTCCCCAGACAGTGACAGTGCCGCTTAAAGTAATCATGGAGCTCAGAAACAGGGATGCATAAAGAAGCATTTAAATTTTTTGCTAATGTGAAATATTTTTTAAAATGTTTATCTTTTGTAAAATTTCACTTTTTAAACATATAAATTGTACAGTCACTGGGTTAGAGTCTGTCTGTCAAATGACATCCAAAAATGAGTTGCAGATACGTGCATAAGTTGTCAGTTTGGTGAATGCCAAGTTGACTCATCACTGGCCAGATGTCTGGGAGTAGACTTGCTTGATTAGATTTTCTCTGTAAAACATCAGATTTTTTTTTCCAGAGATATTCAGGTGGCACACCCCTGTATATATAACATGCTGTGAACTGACTGTACCTGAACTAAATATTCCCTTGTGCTTCCTATAGTGAGTTGTTGGTATTTTTTTTTTTTTTTTTTACAAAATTAGTGTTGATTTGGGATTTCAACATGCGTTTGAAAGGCAATGCAAATCACACAGATATATCACACAGGCCATTTCTTGGCCGTCATCCTGTTTCACTGTCCTGTGGGGATCACTAATAATCTAGCAGAACAGTTCATAAAAAAACATGACATTCAACAGAGCTGAATGAGGACAAATCACGTGTAATCTGATTTTATTCTGGCTAGTTTTATATTGTTTAGTTACTAAGTACAATGACCCTACATTTCTGTAAAATCACACACTTCGAAATCTCTTTATGTCATTTTAGGCAACTTATCCTGTAATGAAGCTGAAGTTCTAGAACCAGGCAGATTAATCTAAATGTAGATATTATTTCAGAGTTCTATTCTGAAAGGACTTTTATTTTGCTTATGTTAAGTCTCATGCTGCAATGAATAGATAGATCATAAATGTATATGATTAACAAATAAAACCCTGTAAATACTCCAATTGTAGAGAATTTAAAGATTGCCACATTGTCTCCTAGTCGCCATTCCCTTGCCTAATGGTGTTTGCACCAAGTGTCCATTTGCTTTGTTTGAGATTTATTTTCTCACAGCTAAAAGGAAAGCAACAGAATAATGCTAGTTGTAATAATGGAAATTGAGGCCGAGGATGGCAGCTATGTAACATACAAATCAGGTATAATATTTAGTTCCATGACAAAGGCCCACTTGAAAATTCCCAATGGCAAAACCCCCACAGTCATAGTTATTGTCAGGCACAGAGAAAAAAAAACTGACTTTTTCATTTATATAAAAACATTTACTTCATATTTCAAACTGCTGAATGTATATAGTTTATTTCTTACAAACAATATAGTTTACTAGAACATTTGTTATTATTTGTCTGTATTGCCTCCATTGTGCAGCACTGCAGAACATGTTGGCGCTTTATAAATTGCAAATAATAATCCTAAGTGAAATTTAGAAAATCCAATAATAGAAAATGTGGATGAAAATCTCAGGGAAATTACATAAAATAAAACGATCTTGTTATGTTACATAGGCTGAAAAGAGACATGTGTCCATAAAGTTCAGCCTTCCTCACATTTGTTTTTTGCTGTTGATCCAAAAGAAGGCAAAAAAAACCCCCAGTTTGAAGCATTTCCAATTTTGCAACAAACTCAGAAAAAAATTCCCTCTTGACCCCAGAATGGCAGTCAGATTTATCCTTGGATCAAGCAGTTTTTACCCTACATTGAAAGATTATATCCTTGAATATTCTGTTTTTGCAAGTATGCATCTAGTTGCTGTTTAAACATATGTACGGACTCTAATAAAACCACTTTTTCAGGCAGAGAATTCCACATCCTTATGGTTCTTACAGTAAAAAAAACCTTTGCTTTGTCTTAGATGACATCTCCTTTCTTCCAGTCTAAACACATCACCTCGTGTCCTATGTAAAGTCCTGTTTATGAACAGATTTTCACACAATGGTTTGTATTGGCCCCGGATATATTTGTATAATGTTATCATATGTCCCATGAGTCGACATTTTTCTAAACTAAAGAGGTTTAAATTTGTTAACCTTTCTTAATAGCTAAATTGTTCCATTCCTTTTATTAGTTTTGTAGCCCGCCTCTGCACTCTTTCTAGTGCCATAATATCCTTCTTGAGAACAGGTGCCCAAAATTGCACAGCATATTCAATATGTGGTCTTACCAGTGATTTATAAAGAGGCAAAATGAATGCCCTTTTTCATGCATGACAATACCTTACTGGCCTTAGCCATGGCACATTGTTGCATAGTTTGTTGTAACAATTACCAAGTCCTTCTCCTGTGTTGTTCTCTCTAATTTGCTTCCATTAAGGGTATACGTTGCTTGTGCATTCTTTACACTGAAGTGCATAACTTTGCATTTTTCAACATTAAATTTCATCTGCCATTTGAGTGCCCAGTGCCCCAGTCTATCTAAATCCCTCTGTAGCAAAGTAATATCTTGCTCACATTGTATTACTTTACAGAGTTGTGTGTCATCTGCAAGCACTGAAACATGACTTTCAATGCTTTTTTCTAGATCATTTATAACCATGTTAAATAGAAGAGGTCCCAGAACAGAACCATGAGGGACACCTCAGGGTGTTTTTGCAACTAAAACCATTTCTTTTATTTATGAAAACTATTTAATCTTTGTCCTACGACATGAACAGTTAAGACTTATTTTTTTTTCTCAACAAACAATTCAGACAGATGTCAATGATTTATTTATTTGTCAATGATTTTAATATAATTTGCATTATTGTAAATTAGACAATCTCTGCAAGTATTTCAGTTTCTTACGTGCTCATATACTTTCATAAATTTGGCAACCAATTCATGCAGCGCATCATATCTTCTCTTCTTCACCTCTAGATGCCTGTATTAGCCCATGTCAATCTGTGTGAGTCCATCAAACAGAAACCACTTGCTGGTATGACTGCAATGGAATATGGAATTAAATAAATAAATAAGTGCAATGGGAAACAACCGTTCAAGAGCTGTATCATGATGATTCCATATTCTTATTGGAAAACCCTGGTCTGAACTGCTGTACTCTTTTCCTTCTACTGCCAGAAGGTAACTGCAGCATTTGGGGTAGGGGAATGCTAAACATTAGTAGATGGATTATAGCAGTTGCATGTGAATATATGTGTCTAAGGAGCTGCAGTTCCTTTATTTAAAATCAACAAAGAAAAACAGATACTGCGTTACTGTGTGATATGAGAAAAGGCACCAAGACTTACTCCTGGTGCCCAAAAAAATAACGCACAGACTCAGATCTTACCCAAATATAATATATAGCTCAAAAAATGGATGAATAATGAAAAATAAATCAAATAAACTTAACCTTTATTCAAATACATGATAAAAAAATGAAAAGAAAATCGTGCAAAGTGTATTCCGTGGTTAAAAAGGGGGATCTAATGGAGATTACTGGCACTGATCCAAAAAAGAGCTAATAGACAAGGATATCTTATCAACATAAATCAAGAAAAATACCTGTATCTATATGGATAATACTTAAACACATACATTTATGTCTTGTTCCCAAATAAAGGTATATCAAGTTATAATAACTAGCTAATAAGATTGTGATACAAAAAAACACTTCCCAGAGGGCAAGATATCAGTACAATACCCTCAAATGAGCACTAAGTTATATACTTGTAGATAGAAAAAAAGCTATCAGCTAATATAGATATGCACTCAAAGGATATTCTGTGTTAGTAGTGAAGCTCAAAATGCAATAATAACACTATATTGTAACAAATGTGTCTAGAAAGGAAAACATTCCCATTAATCAATTAAGGCACTTAGAACTATAGAGTCTGTCAGCTAGCACACTGTCCACCCATAAACTCCTTAAGGACACAGTTTCAGAAATAAAATGAAATCATGACGGAATATTTCCGTCATGTGTCCTTAAGGGGTTAAGAAGTGTTGGTAAAGAGGATAAATATATCAAACATGAGGATATTAATATTAGCAAAAATACATATATCAGAGACTGAGTGGTATTGCAGTAGATATATATATTCATTGTATTTAGTGTAAGTCCCTATGTGACCTAAACAGAGAAATCACAAAGGGACTAATACCCTATATCCACAAATAGCCAGACCCAACAGTCTCAAAGTATCTGGAAAACAGAAAAATCAGTGTAGTTTCCCAATTAGACACTTCGTACTGTGCCCCTAATATAGCTCTAGCAAAACAGTATAATTATCATATGGTTGTCTTCTCAGCTATTATATACTGACAGCAGATAGAGCCCCCAAGCTGAGTCAATCCATAATTGTACTTATAGTGGGTAGAAAAAACTAGTCCTTGAAGTGAAGTTAAAATAACTTACAAAAATATAGCTTGTTTTATGCTCAGTATAAATCCATTAGAATCCCTAAAAAATAAAACGCAGCTAAAAAGCAGCATAGCAAAGCTCAACGCGTTTCGGCGCTTTCTTGCGCCTTTTTCAAGAGCTAAACAGAGTCAGAGTCAGCATGTGTTTAAAAAGCGTAAGACCGCACCCCTTAGGACGTCATACAGCCAATCACATCGTGATACGTCGGTCGTGGGAGGTTCTAGATTATGTTATATTCAAGAGATAGGCTGGTCCATCCCTGTACGTGGCAGTCGAAAGACCCGCCCCACTATGCTGTCAGGCAACCAATCAGGCAGATACTCCAACATAGTGGGCGCGGTGCATATAATTGACGGTCGCGACAGCGAATCGTATCTTTGAAGGGACGGAACTTAGAATATTGAAACGCCCCCTTTATATGCCGTTTTCATTACATACCAGAAACTTAGATAAATAAAGTAAAAAGTTTTATAAGTTATTGCTTTATATACAAATTAAGCAGCGAAATATAAATAAGCAACAATGAGTCTACATGGGCTACCATTTTAAAGGTGTTAATGCACAGCATATTATGCTTAATTAGAGTATACTAAAAAACAGTCACTGACTCAGGCTCATCGTTTAAAGGTGTATATATATATATATATAAATGTATTTTCCTACAGAGGATTAAAATTCAACTTAATTAAATGTCCAGATTGAGCTATTACCTTACCTTGAAAGTGAAAAAATGATTGTGTATAAACGAATAATGTATAATATATTGTAGATAGTGTATTATAGATATAGGAGGGAGAAATTAATTTAAAAGGATGAATTTTAATCCACCTCTTTATTTAAAACCACCTATACAGGGCCGTCTTTAATACTGATTGGACCCCGGGCAAAGATTTGCTTGGGCCCCCTGGACCCTGTCGTCGTGCCCCCCTTACCCCAACGCAGAGGCGGACGTAAAGTAGAGAGGGCTCTGGTGCATGAATTATTTTGGGCAACTCCAACAATGCTTTGACAGCTGGGGATCTACCATTTTCCCATGCATGCCGGGTTGTATTTAGCACTGAGCAGTATTTGTGTGTTTGAGTGTAAGCATGTTTTTGTATGGAGTATGATTGTGTGAATGTAGGGGTGTGTTTGTATGTGGAGATGGCATTTGAATGCAAGCATGCATTTATGTGTAGTGTTGGTTTTTGAGGTGTGTTTAACTATACCAGTGGTACTTGGTACCCAGCAGACTGCTTAGAATATTCCCTCAAACGACAGATACATGCTGGCGCTGCGAGGCTGACGAAGGCTCCTACATACATGTCTGGTGGACCTGTAATGCCATATCAGGTTTGTGGAAAGAGATCCACCGCTTTTTATCTAAACACCTAGAACCCCCCATCACCCTCTCACCAGCAACGTACCTCCTCCTGGACCTTTCTCCATACCTACCAAGACATGAAACAAAACTAATCTCCCATGTAGCGCTTACTGCTCAGCGCGCCATAGCCACAAACTGGAAATCGACCACAACCCCCTCCCTCCGAAGCATCCTTAGGGACGTAGACAAACAAGGTGCATACGAGAGCCACTTCACCGGCCTATTTCCCTATACCACACTAATCTCAAAAACATGGTCGACATGGGACGCATGGAGATCGGGGTCTAACGGATGAGATGTAACAGTTACTCTAAGTATAACTAAAACAAAACCCCTCAGAACCTTAGAAACTATATTGAAGCCAGAAGGGGTGACAAAAATAAGTGAAGTAATGTTCAGATAACACCACACTGCTGCTTTCAAGTACCACAACCATACACACCAAATAAATGGGTACATACTGCGAAGGAGACGACGGTTCTGTCTAATAACATTACTGTATAAGAAAGGACCCGCATACACTGTTTGTACAATATTGTGAATGCACTTTAAGAGTACACACCCTTCCCCTACTCCCTCTCTCCTTTCTGTACCCCATTCCCCCCTTTTTGTTTTTACTGTTGAATTTCAACTGAAAATAAATAAAAAATTTCAACGGAAAAAAAAAGAGGTGTGTTTATATGGAGTGTTGAAGTCTGAATGGAGGTGTGTATTTGCCTGTAGTGTTGGCGTTTGAATGCTGAGATGTATGCACATATACACATGCACTGCCACAAAAACACACTCACTGAAACACTTGCAGATACACAGATATACACAATCATACAGATGCAGCTATACAGACACATTTACACACACTGACACACATACATGTACACAACCTGACATACAGAAACACAGATGCACACACTGACACACATGCAGATACACTGACAACATACAGATACAGACACACAGATACATAACCTGACAAATGTAGATACAAACACTGACACATATGCAGATACACAGACATTTACTGACACACATGCAGATACACACATTGGCTACATTCAGATACAGATATACAAACTGACACACAAATACATGCACAGGTATGCACTCACATACTGACAACATACAGATACACACACACACACTGACAGAAATACTGCTACACACAGATATACACACACACAGACATACTGACACACACAAACACACAGACATACTGACACATACATAGACATACAAACTGACACACAGACATACAAACTGTTACACAGATATACAGACACACACACAGACATACAGACACACACACAGACATACAAACTGACACACACAGACATACAAACTGACACACACACATAGACAGACACTCTTCAGTTTGCTACCTTTGCAAGAGGCTACCTTCCCTGGGGTCCAGTGTGCTCTCTTTACTTCCCCTCCTCACTGGATCCTGTCTCAGCCCCCCGCGCAGCTCATTGTCTTCGTGGTGGGAGGAAGTGATTTGCGGTCGTCACTTCCTCCCATGCAGCCGTTAAGCATGGGGCCCGATCGCGCTGTTAACCCCTTAAGGACACATGACATGTGTGACATATCATGATTCCCTTTTATTCCAGAAGTTTGGTCCTTAAGGGGCTAAAGCACTGACCTGACCCCTACTGAAACATGCTCACCGGGTGGCCCTAAGTGTGTGGGCCCCCTTAGTGTGCGGGCCCCGGTGCAGCTGCAATACCAGCACCGCAGGCCCATTAGGGAATTTATTTTTTTTTTACTTTTTTTTTTTTTATGCGGGCAGCTGCTTTGAGCCTCCAGGAGTAACTGGGCCTGGGGCAGCTGCCCTGTTTGCCCTGTGTTAAAGACGGCCGTGCACGTTTATTGTCTTGGTACCTGTTATTTTATTTATTTATTTATTTTAAATATTCTTTATTTGTTTTTCATTACAATGACAGACAATACATTACATAAACATTATTTAAAACCATCCATAATATACACTGACTCATTCAATAAAACATCCTGACAAATACAGTACTGTGAAGTAGGGCCCAAGCAGAGAGAGAAAAAAAGAGTATATAATACAATATAACTACTTTTACCGAAATACACTAATCACTTTATTATCCTAGCAAGGACATAACTCTTAAAAGGCAGTTTTCTTTTGCTTTTATTTTCTTAACCGAAGACTTATTTCTCCAGCATACCCCCAGTTCCATTTTCAGTTGGACTGTTAATTGGTTTACCCAGTGATAAAATTCTATTTCTTTTGATTGTTTCCATTCTCTTGCTATAATAATCTTCAAAGCTGGAAAACTATGGGTAAGTAAAAAATTTATAGCAGTTAGATCAGGCCAGCCCAAGTGAAGAATTACAGTGACTGGGTTTTTATCAATCTTAATCCCTTCTAGTTTAACTAAAGTATGGTACACTTGATCCCAAATTTGTTTTATTTTTGGACAGTTCCACCAGATATGTAAATAACTCTCAACTGCACTTGAACATCTCCAGCATATATTTGAGAGATTAGTATCTATGTTATTTAGTCTAGTAGGTACTAAATACCATCTGTTAATAACTTTATAAAAAGTTTCAATCAAAACTAAGTTATGAACATTTTTCTTTAATTTTTGTAGAGCTTTTCCCCAAGCATCCACTTCTATGGACAGATTAGAAACATAGCATGTGGCGGAAGATAAGAACCATTCGGCCCATCTAGTCTGCCCAATTTTCTAAATACTTTCATTAGTCCCTGGCCTTATCTTATAGTTAGGATAGACTTAACTATAAGTCTAGGCACCCAGACCACTTCAGCTTAATGAAGTGGTCTGGGTGCCAGGTCCCTCTAGGATTAACCCCTTTTTTTTATAAACATAGCAGTTTCAGAGAAACTGTTATGTTTATAAATGGGTTAATCCAGCCTCCAAATCCTCTAGTGGTTGTCTCATTGACAGCCTCTAGAGGCGCTTGTGTGCTTCTCACTGAAAATCACAGTGAGAACACGCAAGCGTCCATAGGAAAGCATTATAAATGCTTTCCTATGAGACCGGCTGAATGCGCGCGCAGCTCCTGCCGCGCATGCGCATTCAGCCGAAGAGGAGGAGAGCTCCTGGCGCTGGAATAAAGGTAAGTTTAACCCCTTTCCTCGCCATCCAGCCCGGCGGGAGGGGGATCCTGAGGGTGGGGGCACCCTCAGGGCACTATAGTGCCAGGAAAACAAGTGTTTTCCTGGCACTATAGTGGTCCTTTAAACTCCTTTGCTGTGTTAACCTCTACCACTTCAGCTGGAAGGCTATTACATGCATCCACTACCCTCTCAGTAAAGTAATACTTCCTGATATTATTTTTAAACCTTTGTCCCTCTAATTTATGTCCTCTTGTTGTGGTAGTTTTTCTTCTTTTAAACATAGTCTCCTCCTTTACTGTGTTGATTCCCTTTATGTATTTAAATGTCTCTATCATATCCCCCCTGTCTCGTCTTTCCTCCAAGCTATACATGTTAAGATCCTTTAACCTTTCCTGGTAAGTTTTATCCCGCAATCGATGAACCAGTTCTCTGAACCCTCTCTAAGGTATCAATATCCTTCTGAAGATACGGTCTCCAGTACTGTGTACAATACTCCAAGTGAGGTCTCACCAGTGTTCTGTACAATGGCATGAGCACTTCCCTCTTTCTACTGCTAATACCTCTCCCTATACAACCAAGCATTCTGCTAGCATTTCCTGCTGCTCTATTACATTGTCTGCCTACCTTTAAGTCATCAGAAATAATCACCCCTAAATCCCTTTCCTCAAATGTTGAGGTTAGGACTCTCAAATATTCTGTACTCTGCCCTTGGGTTTTTACGTCCAAGATGCATTATCTTGCACTTATCCACATTAAATGTCAGTTGCCACAATTCTGACTATTTTTCTAGTTTACCTAAATCATTGCCATTTGTTACATATCTTAGTATCATCGGCAAAAAGACATACCTTACCATCAAGACCTTCTGCAATACCACTAATAAAAATATTAACGAGAATGGGTCCAAGTACAGATCCCTGAGGTACCCCACTGGTGACAAGCCCAAGCTTCAAATATATTCCATTAACTACAATCCTCTGTTGCCTGTCACTCAGCCAGTGCCTTACCCATTCAACAATATTGGAATACAAACTTAAAGATTGCAGTTTATTGATAAGCCTTCTATGTGCAACAATGTCAAAAGCCTTACTGAAATCTAGGTAAGCAATGTCTACTGCACCACCCTGATCTATAATTTTAGTTACCCAATCAAAAAAATCAATAAGATTAATTTGGCATGATCTCCCTGAAGTAAACCCATGTTGTCTCTGATCTTGAAATCCATGTGTTTTTAGATGTTCATCAATCCTATCCTTTAACATGGTTTCCATCACTTTCCCCACTACTGAAGTAAGGCTTACTGGCCTATAGTTGCCCGACTCCTCCCTATTACCTTTCTTGTAAATGGGCACAACATTCGCTAACTTCTAATCTTCTGGGACTACTCCTGTTAACAATGATTGGTTAAATAAATCTGTTAATGGTTTTGCTAGTACACCACTAAGCTCTTTTAATAGCTTTGGGTGTATTCCATCAGGTCCCATTGACTTATTTGTCTTTACTTTTGACAGTTGAAATAGAACCTCTTCCTCTGTAAACTCACGTGTAATAAATGACTCATTTATCCTTTTTCTTAATTGAGGTCCCTTTCCTTCATTTTCATCTGTAAATACAGAACAAAAATATTCATTGAGGCAGTCAGCTAGACATTTATCCTCTTCTACATACCTTCCTTCTTTTGTTTTTAATCTAACTAATCCTTGTTTTACTTTTTTTTTCTCATTTATGCATCTAAAAAAAGTTTTGTCCCCCTTATTTACTGACTGTGCTATTTTAACTTCTGTGTGTGATTTGGAAGCTCTTATAACTTGCTTAGCCTCTTTCTGCCTAATCTTATAGATCATTCTGTTTTCCCCACTCTGTTTTTTTTTTATAATTACTAAATGCTAACTTTTTGTTTTTAACTATTTTGGCCACATCTGCGGAGTACCAGTTTTCTTGAATTTTTAGTTTTTACTGACAAGCCTAATGCAATTTTCTGTTGCCTTCAGTAGGGCAACTTTTAAATAATCCCATTTCTCTTGGACTCCATTTAAATTGCTCCAGTCTGATAATGACTCCTCTTCACATATTCTAATTTTAGAAAAGTCTGTTTTTCTAAAGTCTAAAACTTTTGTTTTTGTGTGGTGTGACTCAGTCACTGTTCTTATGTTAAACCACACTGACTGATGATCACTGGATCCTAAACTTTCACCTACAGTAATATCTGATACCAAATCTCCATTTGTTAACACTAAATCTAGTATGGCCTCTTTACGAGTTGGCTCCTCAACAACTTGTTTTAGAGACAATCCCAGTAGGGAGTTTAGAATATGTGTGCTCCTGGCACAAGTAGCTATTTTGTTTTCCAATTTACATCAGGAAGATTAAAGTCACCCATGATGATAACTTCCCCTTCATTGTCATTTTAGCTATTTCCTCAACTAGTAGATTATCTAACTCTTCAATTTGTCCTGGGGGCCTATAAATCACACCTACACGAGTTACTGTGTGATTACCAAATTCTAACGTAACCCAAACGGACTCTATAATATAAAGAGTACCCTGGTATTGCTATGTCCCAGTCATTTTTCTCATTATACCATGTCTCAGTAACAGCGACTAAATCTACACTATCAGTTGCCATTATTGCCACAAGTTCATGGATCTTATTCCCTAAACTGCGATTACACTCAGTTTCCCACTTGTTCAAAGCATTTATATTAATATTGTATGTAATTAATCGAGACATACATTTTGATAATAATTTTCTAGAATTTGCATGAGCAAATATTTATTACAAAAAGACCCTCTATTCTTCCCCTCCACATAATTCTTAGAAAGAAAAAATGTAACCTTTATATAATTGAATGTTTCTGAAATAGGTAGCTCATATTCTAGCCTTAAAGTGGCGAATGATTTAACTAAATTTCCTGTCATATTGCTTCCGATCTCTCCAATATTCTCCAATATCTAGATTTATATCTTCTATAAGGGATTCTAAAATCTCTATCTCCATGAAGTCATATATCTTGCCCCTGTGGTTCATTTGCTTCCTCAGTTTAAACCATATCGGAAGAGTTTGACAGATTATTTTATTTTGGATTTCTTTGAAAATTAAATTTCCTTTTTCATGCCATAAAAGTTTATTTAATTGCTGCTTAGTCAATGATAAGTTTGTGCCATCCTGTATTTATTGCTTATTTTTTCATTAAAATTTGTAAATGATGGATCATGCCAGCTTCATAGTGCTTTCTAATATTGGGAAAATTCATACCACCTTGCCTAGAGGCCCTCATCAACTGGGATAGATTAATGCGAGGTGTTTTTCCTTTCCATACAAAGTTCCTAAACGTTCTCTGAATTAATTCTAACCAGCTATCTGGTACCTTTAAAGGGACCATTTTAAAAAAATACTTCCACTTTCTTCCAGCCCAACTCAAAAATGTACTGTTCCATTTTTTCAATGCCAGATTTGTTACTTTAATCAGTTTTAAAACATTCTTTTCAACAATGATGTTTGTTGTCTGACAGTATAACTCCTAAATACTCAAAGCTCCCCCTGGCCTCCTTAAAGCTGTACTTTTCTACTATTTGTCTCTTAACTTCAGAATCGCATTTTGAGAACATTGCTGTTGATTTGTCTATGTTCGTCTTATAATTCAACACTTCACTATAATGATTTATCTCCTCCATAAGATTGCGAATAGAGGTAGAGGGATCCGTCAACGTAATTATTGTGTCATCAGCGTACAAACACACCTTTTAGATCTCCTAATGCTACAGGAAACCCTTTGATGTTCCGATTAGATCTAATTCTGGCTGCAAAGGGTTCCATGGAGATAATATACAATATTGGTGAGAGCGGGCATCACTGGCGGGTGCCATTATTTAGCTCAAACCAATCGGAACATAAATCTGCGCCTACTACCCTGGCCATGGGGTCTTGATATATAGATTTAATTGCGGCCTTCATCCATCCACAAAAGCCCATGGCTTCCATGACCTTAAACATATATCTCCATCCGACCCTGTCAAAGGCCTTCTCTACGTCCAATGACAGGGTCAGGAGAGGTGTATTCGTTCTATCCCCCCAATCCAATATGTCTATCAGTCTCCTGGAATTAGCATTTACCTGTCTGAAGGGAACAAAACCGATTTGATATTCACGTATAAGGATAGGCAAAACAGATTTGATTCTTTCAGCCAAAATGGCCGAAAACAGTTTAGAATCTACATTAATTAAAGATATTGGGCGATAATTTTTCAGTTCATTAGGGTCCTTATCCTTTTTTTAATGATAGGGATTACATTTGTATAAAGCATTTCTTTGGGTCCAGATCCTTTAACTATCTCATTATAGACATTAACTAGATGTTCACATATTAAATTACTGTATGTTTTATAAAAATGGTTTGTCAACCCATCTGGGCCTGGGGTTTTATTTTTTTCTAATCTTTCAATAGCTGTGTAGAATTCTTTTCTCATAAGAGGGATATTTAATTTATCATTAAGCTGTTTGGGAATATCTGGTAAATTAATATCTTCCAAATAATTATTTTATTTGTTTTTCCCCTAATGATTTAGGAATGTTGTATAACTCCTCAAAAAAAATTGCTATGTCTTCAGGGTTCTTATACTCAGTCTGATCTATTTTAATGCTTGTTATGCTATTTAACCCCTTTTTTTCTTCAACTTATTAGTCAACCACTTTGTAGTTTTATTGTTATGATAATTTACTTTCATTTTTTCTAGATTTCTATTGATTCTTTCTATTTCTATTTTATTTATTTTTTCTTTGATATCTTTTAATTGTATTATTGTTTCATTGGTGAGGATATTTTTCATATTTTTAGAGATTCTATAATATTGGATATAAAGTTCTTCTCTAGTTGCACCCCTCTCCCTATTTAGTCTGTTTTTGAGTTTTATCAAATAGCCTCTTACAACAGCTTTGAAGGCACACCAGATCACGGAATATGACATACCTTCCGTTTTGTTTTCCTTGAAATATAACTCAATGAGTTTTCTTATTTGATTTTGATGTTCACTCTTTAAGATATTACCATCCGATCGTAAGGTATTAAAGGGTTTATTTATTATTTTTATCCTTTATGCTAAATATGTTATAACTATGATCCGCCCATGGGTTTTCAACTATTTCTATTTTTTTAATCTGTTCCACCAAAGAGTTCTCTCCCAAGACCAAGTCTATTCTGGAAAGAGACTGATGAACTCTAGAAAAATTAGTATATTCTCTTTCCATGGGATAGAAAACACGCCAGGTATCCATAAGACCACTCTTTCTCAACTGAAATTCCTATAATAATAGGGATATTTCCATCCATTCTTATCCACACCTACAAGAGAAAACATTCATCTGTTGATGTGACTCTTAACATTATTTCTCATAATGTTACTAGATGAGATCTCATTAAGGATCTCCAAGCGGGACTTAAAGGGTAAGATCAAGACTGACAGAAATATTAATATATCAAAAATTAAACATGGCTCTTTCCTCTTTTCATATGAGAGATATGAGTAAAGAATATAAATATACCAAAAAATATAATATACCACAACCATAATACAAATTTCAAGGGGCCAAAGGCCCAATTTATCTTTCCTCACGTTATTTCCTATCTATTCCCAATTCTATAAATCGTTATTATCAGTGAATATACCATTATTATTCAAATAGTGATACTTTTTCCTTTTTTTATCCTAAGCTCAATCTTATCTATAGTAAAATATTGTGCACCTGTGTTCTTATAATCCTATAATCGTGATGATTGTGTATTTCCTTTCTAACTTTATATAATAATTACCAAAACTTCTATATATTTTATCAAAGTTAATCTTTGGTGTTAGTTGTTTAAGTGAAAGAGAAAAATAAAAGGCCTCATAATCTTCCATTTTCTTCTTCATACTCTCGCTGCTCTTCTTCTATGTTTAAATATAAATTAGCTCATAGTTCTACTTCTCAATAACATTAAATAAGTTGCTCTTTAGTCCATTTTTCAAGATCTTTTGGCTCAGGAAATACTACTTTTTTGTCTTTCCAGAATAATATGACTGTTCCATTAGGGCCCCACCTGTATCTTATATTTTGTTGTTTGAGTGGAGCCAAAGCAGAAACAAATAATCTTCTCCTTGATCTTGTATATGAAGAAATATCTTGATAGACTATCAGATCTTTGAATCTTCCATCTTCAATTCTCTTTGTTTTGTAGCTTGCGTTACTTGTTGTTTCACAAACAAGGAGTAAAATATCACAACCAAGTCCCTTGGACTAGATTCTGGAATATTGGGAGGTTTTCTTACCTGATATATATTTTCTATAGCGTATTCCTTATTCAATATTTTAACGTCCAGAGCTGTCAAAAATTCAAGTACATACTCAGTTGTGTTCTCCTGTGTGATGCTTTCTGGAATATTTTTGACTCTGATGTTTTTAATTCTTTGTTTATCCTCCAGTCCATTTATTCTCTGTTCAAGAATTTTTTCTTCATTACTGATTTTTTTTTTTTCTCGTGCTTCTATAAGTGTTTTATGTTGGAATTCCATTAATTCCTTTTTTCTTCCATTTTAGATAGTTTTTCGCTTATTTCTTAAATATCCATTTTCAGTTGGTTGTTAATTTCCTTTTAAAACTCTGCTGTTTGATTTTCCAGACTATTTTTTTTATAAATTCTTCCAAATAATTTGATGACATTCTCCTGTCTTCCACTATAGATTCTTCAACGAGTGAATTATGTTCACCCAATTTTTTTGAATTAGGAGAAAAAAAATCTGCTGCTCCTTTACGTTGATCGACATTTTTTTTTAACTCTTTAGTTTTTTTTTTTTTTTTTGCCAACTTGGCTGCAGCCATGTTGTTCCACTATTTGAATCAGCTTCCCCCTTTTTTTTTTTTTTTTTTTTTTTTTTTTTTTTTTTTTTTTTTTTGCTTGGATTAATAGCACCTGTTGGTTATGTGCTTTTGTTCAGTTTATCCAACTTTGCTAATTTATGTAGTGGTTTTGGAGATAGCTTTTTTTGGTTTTACCGTTTTAATATAATTCTTGTATGACACTATTTCTCTGATTATTGCAATCTGATTATTGCAAAATTTAATTTGCAATTTTATCATATATATCAATATATCTTTGTTCTGACTTCAGAGTACAGATTACTCCACTTTACCCTTTTTCTTAAATAGGTTCTAGATATAGTCTTTCTTCTTTAGCAGCTTTAGCACTTTATAAAAAATAGTTTTCTATACCAATGGTATCTGGAATTCAACATATATATATATATCTATATATATATATATATGTATATGTATATGTATATATGTATATGTATATGTATATATATATATATATATATATATATATGTATATATATATATACATTTCCTCCAATCACCCACTTAGTATGTACTTGCTTTTGAATAGATTGTCTCGAGGGAGAACTCAGGAGTGTTCTCTAACAACTTCTGCTTCTTTGTTTTGAATGCAGTGAAGCATATTTATGAGGCTTGTAAGCGTGTTCTATCCGATTTTGTACTTAAGCTCCCTCTTCCTTAGAACGCCATCTCCTCGTGGCAGTATATTCATCAGAGCGCAGTCAGCCGTCAATCCTTTTCGTCCCATTTAGCCCCGCCTCCCGATGCGTGCGCTCGTTGCATTCACGTCATCGCGTTGAAACCTGCTGCCCTCAGAGCCTGGTACCTGTTATTTTGATGTCGACTCTGTCATTTTTCAGCACCAGCTTGTGCCTTGGCATCTTCACCACATCATTTTTCGCCTGCCTGCGCCGATATTGGTGTGGAACTCTGCACTCCCGTAGCGTATTAATGCTGCTGACACAAGCGTGTCTGCATCATTTCTGCAATGAAGATTTCAGTTTTGGCATTGCAGAAGGGACGCTGACAAATAGGAGTGTGTCCTGACCTATATAAACCCCTCTTGACCTGACCTTTGCTCTCTTGTGGTTTCCGTTTGGTTCTCAATTAGTGTGTTACTACTGTTCTGTAATCCTCTGCCGTTTTACCATGGATTGTTTTTCGACTCTTTGTACTTATGTAATCCTGACCTTGGCTAGTTTATTTGTTTCCATGTACTTTTATCCTGACTGTGGATTTTTCTTCCACTTACGATTTATATCTCTATTGGCCGGTAATACTCTGTTCTGCCTTTCTGTATTCTGACCTATGTTCTGCATGGTAGGGTATATTACTCCTGATATATCACATCATAATAGTATTGCAGGTTCCACAATATCGCAGTGGTTTTTAAAATATTCACTGCTGTCAGATGGTGTTTTGGCACAATGCTCTAACCACTCCCTCCTAGCAAATAGTGATGTTTATGTTGTCTTCTCCGATTAGCTAAGTGCTCAGATGAAGTGCAAAACACATAAAAACATGTAAGACAGCGGCCCTGTTTTCCCAGTGTGGTTGTCACATTTGAATACTTTGACAGTATTACAAGCTGCTGATTATGGCAGAGGTGGTTGAACTATTCAGTGATCTCGGATTGTCTTTTAGGCTTTCCTATAAAATTCAGCACAGCAACTAGTGAACTTTGGACCTTGCCAAGCCACTCCAATCCTCATTTTTAGTGCGCTAGGGCAATTGTGGTGTTATGGTTAACGCTGGTATTGTACCAGTATGGAGCCCCCTTCAGTCTTTGCCACAGCTGCTGCATGTTCCTCCTATCCCTAAATGGAACACACACCTATTGTATCCCCTATCCCTAAGAGGGACCAACTTATTGGATCACCCAGTGGTACTGGGATGAATTCTGGATCATATTTTTTGCATAAGGGACCCCTGGCTTGTATGGGGATTCAGGATTCTGACTCTGCTGGAAGTGGAAACCCTGGGTTGTATATCCGTGATGGGACTGGGAGCCCCAGATTTATATTTTTCTGTCACGTTTATCCATGTAAGCATTTATCCATGTGGATCATTTTTCTGTGTGAATATTTTTCCATGTGGGTAATTTTTTATGTGAGCATTTACAATAGTGGTATTTTTGCTGTGTGGAATTTTCATGTAGTCTTTTCTCATGTGCACTCTTGTCTGGTCTCCAGAATATTTATTTGGATATTGCAGTGCGCACTTTCTTTTTGAGATATTCTATTATTTTTTTATTTTTTATGTGCGCTTGTTCATTTTTTATTTTTTTTTCTCAGCATTGTTTGTAAGAAGAATCGATGGAGGAAGAAATGAAAAGTTTGCCACTCGAGAATGCATCAATTTTATCAGAGGGTTCCTTGCAAGATGGTCATAGACTATGGATTGGCAACCTTGATCCGAAAATAACAGAGTAAATATGCACTTCAATATGGTAGAATTACATATAGCACAAATTATAGTTGAAACTTAAAGTGAACCGGTCATGATAGCTGTAGATTTGCAGCCTAGCTTGACTCCTATTCTACAATTAAGTTCCCCTAATACCATTAACAACTCATATCTTAATTCATTTCTGTGACCTTGTCTTGTGCTGAGCGCATAAATCATGTTCTCAGTGGTTTATGCACATGCTTTAACACACATCTTTCCTGCATATCCCTGTTTAGGAAGCACAGACTAGCTTCCTATGTTAAAAGTACCCTACACTACATGTTGGCATCAATGGTGTGTAAATAAAACGTATCTATTCACTCTTTGTTTTAGGATTTCTAGTTTACATGTGCAAATCACATTTTTGCTTGCAATTGCTTGTACACTCAGTTTCTATTGCTTCTAATATTGGTACAGCTATAAACTATTTTTTTCTTATTCTTTAGCACGTTAACTAGTTTAACATGAATTATAGTTTAAGATATAAATATTTCAAACCCGTGCTGGGATTCTTGCTGTATGTTTAATGTGCCTTTCTTTATTGGAATCATTACAAGCATGTTATTTTCCAATGCTTTTTATTGCCCAGTTTAGTCTTAATGTAATTTCCTGGTATTCTGAGACCACTAAGTCCAAAGCAAACTGAAAGGAAATAACACACACTTCATTGCAACTGCATATTTCAACAAGGTTACTGGTAAAAGTATGAAACATTTAATAAACTGAATTATACAACACTTATATTTGGATATAATTTCATTTACCAAGGTCAAAAAACTTCTAAAACAAAGTCAAGTTTTCTGAACCTCTTTTTTTTTATTTTTATTGATTCACCTCATCTCAGCTGTATTGAAGAATCCCCACAGACTGTTAAACACAAACATATATCTTACAAATCTTATAAACATACACCTCTAGCACTCACTAAAAAGCACTATACATATTTAGGGACGTAGCTTAAAAAGCATCAAATCATTGACATCAGAATACATTTCACGCTCCTCTCTCACACAGAATATGTTGTAGAAGAATATACATGGACCTTCCTTTCTTAGTGCCTAACACATGCATGCCTCTTCACCTTTAGGGTTTTGTAGTTGTTAAGGTCCTAGTACCCCTCACCTTGTATGAAGAAAACAGTTTCTTCTTATCTGGGGTCCACTAGGTAAACTCTCACCTCCATCATAGCCAACAGAGAACCAAAAGCTCCTGCTCAGGAGCTTCTGTTATGTAGGGCTCGTTTGCAGAGAGCATCAGCCAAACACTTTCAGCAGACGAACTTAGCCCTGCACAGCTGTGCTTCTCTGTCTCTGTAGGCTGTTGTGGAGGTGTGGAGCGGTATTAGACGGACCCTCGGTTAAGAATTTAAACCGTTATAACTCCATGAGCCAGTGCAGCCTGCATATCTTGTAGATTTAAAAAAAAAAACAAACACAATTTAAACAGATATTTGTTTATATAGTTGACTGATTCATGCTTGAATATTATTGAATATGCGTTGATTTTATTTTCTAGGTTCCATCTTTTAAAGCTACTTCAGAAATTTGGAAAAGTGAAACAGTTTGATTTCTTGTTTCACAAGTCTGGGCCTCTGGAAGGACAGCCACGGGGATACTGTTTTGTGAATTTTGAGACAAAGGTGGTGAGTATGCATCTAAAATAGCCTCACCACTACTACTCTATTCAAGCAGATATGCTTAAAACATGAATCACATAATGTGTACAGTGATATAGGGTTTAAATGTTTTGCACACTTTACCAAGAAGTAACTTTCTGACCTCAGTGACTCTACATATTCAGTTATGAGATGCAGAAATAGATTTTTAGTCCTGCTTTTTAGCTGTTTGCAAAAGTCTTTTAAGAGCCAAACGTGATTATTTTGTGAAAGATTTGATGTTTGTTTTATACAGGAAGCAGAGAGAGCAATTCAATGTCTCAATGGCAAGATGGCGCTATCCAAGAAACTTGTGGTCAGATGGGCACATGCGCAAATTAAGGTAAATTACCTAAAGTTTCAGAATGCACTGCATTTGATTGGCTTTCAAAAAGATAGGCATCTTACCACATCCAGTGCTTGCAGCTTTTCCTTCTCTTCAGAACTTCTGAGTAGAATGAGAGCAGCACTATATCATGATATATCCGTTTAGAATGTTTGATCTGGAAGGTTGAAGAAACATAGCTCATGGGAATGAACACCAATCCTCGAAAACAGACCAGATTTTGTGGTGCCTCAAATATAAAACTATTTCTCTTGCTTTCATGGTTTTCATAACGGTTTTTAAAATAAACCTCGTTCCTTTGCCTTTTGGTCTCTAGTAGACCATTAGTCTCTTTGATGGAGGTTAAACATGTCTTACTGTAACTTAGAATCTAATCTGTTTTATTAACAGAAGTTTTTTACTCTGTTAAAGAAGAAACTTTCTTGGCCAAAATGGAATGATTGCAGTTACCAAAATGCCTTCGATCTTTAAAGCAGCACTGTCATGCCGAACTTACCTTTCCTCAATCTCTTCCTCTTCTCCCCCTCTCTCAGGATCTGTTCTTCTTTTCTTCCTGTCTTCTTTAGTTTTCTTTAAAATCATAAGACAAAGTAGGGAATCTTTGCCTTATGGAGGTTTCCTCCGCTTGACCAGCTCTGACCAGCGGAGGAGCAAAGTGTGCTTCATTTCCGCTGGTCAGAGCAATTTTCCCACAATTCTCACTTTTCCTCTGTGTTCCCACGATGCTTCCTGTCATTTTTGACGAAACTGCCGAATTGCGTTCCAACTGATTTAGAACAGTATGTTCGTTTCTTTTAGAACTCAATTCGTCTCTTTGTTCGTATCGGAATTTCATTTGAATGAATGAAACTCCGATCCTATTCGTGCTGTGGCTGCATCTTGCAGCCGCTTAGTAGATAACTCCCTAATTCCCAGGGTATCAGGGAGTTATCTACTAAAAGGCTGAAAGACCTAAATTGGTCTTTCAGCCACACTTATTAATACTAAGTAAAAATTACTTAGTATTACTAAATGCTGCCCCTGCTTGCTATACCACGAGTAGGGGCATGTCTAGTAAACAGTGAGCAGCCTGTGGGCAAATAGTAAACTATTTGCCCCCACCCCTAAACGACGGATGGGTCCCTAAAGTAAAATAAGGGGGGAGACCTATTGTGTGTCCCCCCCGGCCCCCAACCCTGCGTGGTGGGTGGGGGCCATAAATTACAATGAGGAGGGGGAACCTACTGTCCTCCCCCTCTCCGGCCCCCACCCCTGGGCGGCGGGTGGGGGCCATAAAGATAATGAGGGTGGGGGACCTACTGTCCTCCCCCCCCCCCCGGCCCCCCACCCCTGGGCGGCGGGTGGGGGCCTAAGTCAAATTCCCCCAATTACTAACCTGTAAAGTAAAATTAAACTTACCACTCAACGTCTTCTTTATTCTAAAATCTTCATTTTTCAGCCCCAAAAAAGCCCTCCTCCCCCCAATTATCATGGCCCCCACCCGCCACCCAGGGGTAGGGAGGACAGTAGGTCCCCCCCTCTCATTATCATTATGGCCCCCACCCGTCGCTCAAGAGTGGGAGCCGGAGGGGGGGGAGGACAGTAGGTCCCCGTCCCCCCATTGTAATTTATGGCCCCCACCCGCCGCTCAGGGGTGGGGGCTGGATAGTAGGGTTTTTGGGGTTTTTTTTTTTTTACAGGCTGCTCACTGTTTAGTAGGAATGCCCCTACTCGAAGTATAGCGAGTAGGGGCATTGGGGAGATTTTAATCTCCCTTATGCTATTATGGGGGTCATAATATACCATAGAGTGAGGGGGGATCTGGGGGGCTTATGAAGTAGCGGGGAGCAATGCTCCCTGCCGCTTCTATCTTTACATATTAGAAGGAGGGAGCTGCGTGCCGGTAGCTCCCTCCTTGTAATAAACTAAACGAACACTGATACACAGTGTTAGTTTGTTCGTCTGATTTTTCTATTCATTCGTCTTTCTGATGAATGAATGAATAGATGAAATTCCCGTTCGCATGTCCAGGTGTTTCACTGGGCACGTGCGGGAATTTCACAGTCTATCTTGTGTGGGCAGATGATGTGTCTCACAGGGACTTCATCTACCCACACAAAGATGACGGCGCCCTGAATAAAGTTTGGGGCGGAAAATAAAGAATACGAAATGGGTAATATGGGGGGCTTAGAGGCATTTGGGGGTATCTAGGGGGTCAATTTGATGTAGTGGAGGCGGGAGGGGGGGGTTTAAAAAAAAATAAAAAATAAAAAAATGGATTTGGCATGACAGTGCTGCTTTAACTACAAAAGAAGGAAGTCTGCTACTAGATCTTATTTCCATGGGATATGCACTGTTTTCAGCTTGAGTCCAACACATAATTTTTTTAAATTTTCTGATCTTGGTTTCTTCCTGGTGTTTGATATGACGTTACTGGCCACATGTCTGTCTGAATTACTACAACTATCCATAACTCCAAAATGTTCAAAGGAAAAGTTATGCTCATGCTGTAACAAGAGCTATGAGCTATTCTTCCTCTCTAATAAACACTACAACCTATTGAGTTCAAATCTGTGATAATTTTAACCCAAGATCATTACTCTAAAAGGAACAATTTTGAGTAAGAGCCTTCACAGGAACAACATACTTTTAGTTTGCTGTATTCATTGCTTGCCCCCTGTCATTATGTTATATTTTTTGCCTTGCTGCATTGTGCACAATAAACACTAGACTCACCATAACCATTACAGCCTACAAGTGTAATTTGTCAAGCCATTTTAGAGTGATTTGACAGCTCACTTGAGTCCTGCCCACCCTGGGTCACATACGCTGCTTCCAAGATTCTACTCCAGGAGTAACCGGTTTGCTCTATTGAGCTAAGCAGGCCTGCACTTTTTAAATGAAAGCATCAGCTGAGTGCTTTCAGCCAATGAGTGTGGTCTTGGACCGGCCAGGAACACAAAAGTGTATTCCTGACCCTTTAGTGTTAAAATCACAATTTAGGTCACTAGCCCCCCCCATCTCCCCCATCTGAGTGACTGCCACTGGAGGTGTCCCTAGGCACCAATGTAAACACTGCCTTTTCTCTGAAAAGACAGTGTTTACATGAAAATGCCTGCATGGGACATACTTTACTCACCAGAACTACATTAAGCAGCAATTGTTTTGGTGACTGTAGTGTCCCTTTTTATTGAATATAGACCCCTGCATTCTCCTGCAGAAGACCGAATGCAACATATATAGAGCTTAGAGTGTTTAATTAGCAAGAGTATTTTTTTTTTTTTAATCTTCAAATTTATTTTTATTTATTTAAGACAAGTAAATACAATTTGCTGCTTAAAAAGTTTGTTATACAAGAGAACTTTAGTTGCTTATGCACAAGTATGATTAACATTACAGTGACCATTTTCTTGGAATAAAGCTGACAAAACCCTAAATACCTGTGTGGCTTCATTATTTAAACATTTTACAAAACATTTTACACTAACTGCTAATCAAAAATAATATTCTTTTATTTTTATTTATTTTTTCCAGAGGTTTGATAATTACAAAAATGAAAAGGTTTTACCTATCAGTCTTGAACCATCTTCAAGCACTGAACCAACTCAGTCAAACTTGAGGTGAGTTAAAGCTTCTGCATGCACCCATGTGAGTTCTAATGTGACTTCCTTTAGTTGCCGATAAAAATAAGTATATGATTTTGTAATACTTGTGTACACAAGCATTGGATTATGTTATGGTTATTAATAAATTCTAATTTAGGAAATTATATTGTTTATGATTAAATAAGCACAAATACAATATAAACCATGTGATATTGTTTCAAAACACAAGGCAGTGTGCACCCTCAATAAACTTTCATAACAAGGCTTTTTATCCAGAGCTAGTGTTTATTTACTTTGCAAAAATATTCAACATATACTTACATTCCAAACTAGATAATTAACAGGATATATTTAATCTGCATGAAAAGCTCTTATTTGATCTGTCTTATTTAGCCTGTAATATTTTTAATACATTTTGGTAGTCAATATCTTCAGTCCTAATGTTTCTCTATGGATACGAAAGAGTCCATTGAGCTCAATCTTTGATTGACAGTTAGTGTATTGATAAAAGATAACTGCTGACTAGCTAAATGTAGACTTCTTACACACAAAGCATGATGGCCATGTATAGAACTGCCCAACCTTTAAATGACGCTAACACCATCCCACAATTGGTAGCTTGCAGACTGTATTAAGTCTCGTTTGGCATTAGTAGTGAACTTTAAGGGAAACTTGTTTTACCTTTCTCACCATATAGTCTAATGGCTCCTAAGGCAGTAAATATTTAATTTACTATAGTAATGTATTAATGGTGAATTTATTTGCTGTATTGGCTGTTATATTTGCACGTAGTATTTTCCCCTCGCTCTAGGACTGCCATCACTAGGCTTTTATAGTAACACTTACCCTCTACCTCTTGCAACAGCACTGTCATTCTTGGAGATCTGTTAATATTGCACCACTGTAACACCCGCCTTCTGGTCCCTCCACACCCTTTCTGTCCAGATTTGTACAATATTGATATCGCCAATGGGATGGGACTTGGGCACCTGGGAATAATCAGTTTGTGACATACCACTTTAAATGGATGCATGCGTCTTGCTTTAAAAAAAAAAAAATTGTTTAAATAATGGGGGAAAGGAAAAAAATTTCTAAAAGTCCAAGAGCCAAGCACACTGGTACCATATCCAGTCTCAGGGCTTCAATATACAATGCAAAAAGCGATGCACACAAGGAATTTGTCAAATGTTTCTTCTTTTATTGATCCAAAGGTGACATAACAATCAATGTTCCAGTCTCTAGCTAAGACCTTTAGAAATGTAGGTTTATTTTTTTACAATTGTTGGCGTTCCTTAACAAAAATCTATGCAAACATGTTGTATTTCTCGGCAGTCAGAAAATGTATACTTGCAAATACCTTTTTTATTTCAAAAGCTTGAGTACCTGAAAAGCATAGTGTGTAACCTGGCAAAAGCAAAAGTAAGAATTATTAATCCTCTTCTGTTATGCATGGGTGTTCATTTATTTGAGCATGCAACAATGTTAATAGCAAGGTTCATTTATTTGAGCATGCAACAATGTTAATACTCTCAAAGATCAAATTATATGCATCAAATCTAAAAAGAATAGTGGGGTTAATTGGTTTTACCACTAGAGGGGGATGTATCACTTTACTTCAACTGTTTACCTTTATTTCAGCTGTTTTGCAACAGTTTGAAGTCTTCATTCCTTCTAAATTATTAATTTTGAGGTATAACCGTTGTTTAATTGGATAGTAGCTTTAAAACCACCCTTACCACAACCTACTCACTGTTTAAACTTACCGTCTTTATATCTCTTTTACATTTTGTGGAGAACAGTTCTGAATCAATTATTTTAGGAATCCACACTTCTTTTAAATGCCCCAGGTGATGTCCAGACCCCCGGAATTACAACTGTTTCAATAGCTTTATCAGTGCTCTCTCGTTACAGTGTTCATTATCATTGCAAAGCTAGCATTGAACATGGGGTTATATTATCACACTTCATGTTCAGAATTAAACACTTTGTAATAACAGGTCTCTGGGGGAAAAAAAGTTGCTTTTCTGTTGTGCTGACTTTGCACATGCACATGTTCTCTCTTGTCATATATGCACATCCATTTGGGAGAAGGTTGCTTGTTTCTTGGCAACAGGCATTCGGTTGCTTAACACTTTTTTCAACAATATTCTAAACCCTTTTGACACCAAAGTTGGAATCGAACAAAAAAAAACAATGCTTGATTGTCCCACCATCTGCAACATTTAACTTTTTTTTATTTTTATTTTTTTTATTAATTGGAGCATAATATTGTAATTATACAAATTAGGGTTATTTTCTAAAGTGAGGACTCAAAACCTTATTTATTTATTTATATATTAAATAATAATATAAGTCCAGTCCAGCTATATGACCTTAAATTTAAATGTCACCCCAAAGTCTCACTTTTGTAAATAATCCTGTACTGTCTTTTGGGCCTCCTCTAATGTTGCAAAACCATTAAAATGTAAGCATATTTTCTGTCTGAGCAGAGAATGCTCTGTATTTTCAGCTACTTAGTGCTATTCCCAAAGAACTTTAAAAAAAAAAGTGCAAGTTCACTGGAACTTGCAACCAGAAAATGTGCATGACTCTATATATGTAGGGGGGATAAGAGAAATAATTTCAAACACATACCACAGATATAGTTTCTTCATAGAGTGTTTAACCCTTCAAGCATGCAACCATAACACCGATTCTTAAAAAAAGCCCAACCTTGACCCAAACTCCCCATCCAACTACCGCCCTATATCGCTACTGCCATTTGCCTTCAAGATCTTTGAAAGAGTTGTGTATGCGAGATTGACAGACTTGCTTGAATCCAAATCTCTGCTTAACCCGCTTCAGTCTGGATTCCGCGCTTGTCACTCTGTTGAAACAGTTCTGACCAAAGTATCCAATGATTTAATCGTTGCTAAATCTCGCGGGCATTATTCTATCCTAATTCTCCTTGATCTTTCTGCTGCCTTTGACACTGTTGTTCATCAACAGCTTCTTCTCATTCTCGGTAATCTCGGTCTACAGGATACTGCTCTCTCCTGGTGCTCCTCCTACCTCTCCCTGCGCTTTTTCAGTGTTTCTTTCTCTGGCTCTGCCTCTTCTCCCCAAACCCTCTCTGTTGGTGTTCCCCAAGGTTCTGTCCTTGGTCCCCTACTGTTCTCTATCTATACTTCCTCCCTTGGTAAACTCATCAGCTCCTTTGGCTTTCATTATCATTTATATACAGATGACACACAAATCTACCAGTCCTCTCCTGATCTCTCCCCGCCCATCTTGACTCGTGTCTCTGACTGCCTCTCTGTGATTTCTAACTGGATGGCTGCTCACTTCCTTAAACTCAACTTGTCCAAAACAGAACTTCTGGTCTTTCCTCCCTCAAGTGTTGCTACTCCCGTGTCTATCAACGGCGCCACCATCACCCCTACTTCGCAGGCTCGCTGCCTAGGTGTTCTCTTTGATTCCGACCTCTCCTTCACCCCTTATGTCCAGTCGATCGCCAAATTCTGCCGCTTCCATCTAAAAACATAGCTCGCATCTGCCCTTATTTAACACCAGATGCAGCTATGGTGTTGGTCCATGCCATTGTTCTTTCTCACCTTGAATACTGCAATCCCTTTCTCAGTGGTCTTACATGTTCCCAGATTGCATTGCTGCAATCTATAATGGATGCGGCGGCGAGGCTCATTTTCCTGTCCACACGCACCTCCCACATCTCCCCCCTCTGTCAGTCCCTACATTGGCTTGCAGTTATATATAGGCAGTGGTGTATCCTGGTTTTGTGCTGCCCTAGGCAGGACAAAACTCAGGTTCCCCCCCACCCCCGCATCACCCTCACCCAACCCTTCCCCCCCACCCCACCCCCTGAACCACCCCCACCCCACCTTCTAAATACACACACACATTCACTGACAGATATGCATACACTAGCTAACAGAAATACACACATGCTAACAGAAATACACACATGCTAACAGAAATACACACACACTAACAGACACACTCACCCTCCCTAACAGACACACACTCACTGACACACACACTCACTAACAGACACACACTATCAGACACACACACACACTAACAGACACACACTCACACACTAACAGACATATACACACACTCACATTAACATATTTATTTATTTAACCCCCCTTAGCCTCCTTACCTCTCTCCCATGGGGTGCAGTGGTTGCTGGGCGGGCGATGGCTGGCGAGGGAGCTCTTCCTCTGAGCTGTCTGCTCAGCTCCCTCGCGCGCCGCAGAGTGAGGCTGGGAGCCGGAACAAATGACGTCATATTCCGGCTCCCAGCCTCACTCTGCAGCGCGCGAGGGAGCTGAGCAGACAGCTCAGAGGAAGAGCTCCCTCGCCAGTCGCCCAGCAGCGCCGCTCGCCCGCCTGGCTTGTCAGTTAGCCACGAGGCTAACAAGGCATTTACCCTGGGCATTTGGGGCGGCTTTTTTTTCTGCCCACTGGAAAATGCCGCCCAAGGCAAATGCCTTGTTTGCCTTGCGGCTAAAACGTCCCTGTATATAGGGCTCAATTTAGAATTCTGGTGCTTGCTTACAAGTCCCTGCATAATGCTACTCCAATCTACCTATCCTCCCTAATACACAAATATGTCCTGTTGAGGCCCCTACGCTCTGCCGAAGACCTACTCCTATCCTCTGTCCGTACTCCCACATCTGATGCTCACCTCCAAGACTTCTACATGGCTGCACCTTTTCTGTGGAACGCCCTTCCCTTCTCCGTTAGACTTTCACCCAGTCTCCACTCCTTCAAAAAAATCTTTGAAAACACACTTCTTCAGGAAAGCATATCATTAAAACTGTTAATGGGTTTTCAGCCCTTCCTGCACCCCCCATGACTCCTCTCCTGCAACTGTCAAAAATAACCTACTAAGTTCTCAGTGATTACTTTTCTAGCAACCTATTTCGTTACCCCTATTTATACCCTTTGTGTCACTATACGCCACTCCATCTAGCATGTAAGCTCATTGAGCAGGGCCCTCAACCCCTCTGTTCCTGTGCATCCATTTGTCTGGTTACAATTACGTGTCTGTTAGTCCACCCATTGTACAGTGCTACGGAATTTGCTGGCGCTATATATAGAATAAAATAATAATATATTAATAATTCAAAATAATATTTGCTGTAAATGATGTATTTCCCAATTTGAGATTTATTTTTTAACCTTTTAACAATAATGTCAGCATATCGTACTTAGGTTTATGTAGGTCCTGTATTAACACACTAAAAAAAAAAAAAAAGGTTTTGGGGCGTTTTGGTGATTCTTATAATCATAGAGTAATAAAAAAGAGTTATCAATGGCAAATATGGTGATCAAACAACTGTGTGTTTCAAAATGGAAATATCCAGGAAATAAGGGTAAATGCAGTCTGCTACCCTGAGGCTGCGTACTTGGTCCGGAAAGGTTAAACTGATTGATTGAGCACTGATTTCTCTGCTGTCAGTTAAACAGGAAGCACAATTACTCTGAGTAAATTTTGTGAACTTAGTGTCTAGAGTGAAAAGGTCACAAGTTAGATAATCTATGGTACAGCTTGGATTTCTTTACATAATATATAGTTTGTTCATGGAAAGTATCATAGGTTTGTAAAATGTGATAGTCATTACTGGTGACTAGCTGGTAAATCAGTCTTGCACTATATATTCTATATTTATAGCATATCTCATTTGTATCTCATTCAGTTTTGAAGACACTCATCTCTTTCTTTACTTAGTACACCATTTAAATGTATCAAAACCTAATTTATTTGCAGTAGAGAAAAACCTTCAACTCTCTTTGCAGATTCATTCCAGTGAATTACAAACATAGTTAATCAGTTCTACCAATTCCTTTCCTGTATTTTCACAGCATATGATAATTTACTTCCTTTCCTTGGCTAAACTTTGCCAGGCAGCCAGAAATATTTGATAGAAGACTTTAATGCTAACTTTGGAGGCAGCAGCATGTGTGCTTATGTCAGTCCTGGACCTTTGTCTTATCCTGTGTATTAAAGGACCACTCTAGGCACCCAGACCACTTCAGCTTAATGAAGTGGTCTGGGTGCCAGGTCCCTCTAGGATTAACCCATTTTTTTTATAAACATAGCAGTTTCATAGAAACTGCTATGTTTATAAATGGGTTAATCCAGCCTCTCATTGACAGCCGCTAGAGGCGTTTGCGTGCTTCTCACTGTGAAAATCACAGTGAGAAGACGCCAGCGTCCATAGGAAAGCATTATGAATGCTTTCCTATGAGACTGGCTGAATGCGCGCGCAGCTCCTGCCGCGCATGCGTATTCAGCCGAAGAGGAGGAGAGCTCCCCGCACGGCGCTGGAAAAAAGGTAGGATTTAACCCTTTCCTCGCCATCCAGCCCAGTGGGAGGGGGACCCTGAGGGTGGGGGCACCCTCAGGGCACTATAGTGCCAGGAAACAGAGTATGTTTTCCTGGCACTATAGTGGTCCTTTAATGTCAGTATTCTACAGGATCTTGTATTACAGACAAATAGGTTCTCATGGGAGGCGCTGGTAGCTATGAATGCTTTTAGTTTACTGATGATATTGTTTGACAGATGAATATCTGTATTTTTAATTGTTCCTTAGCTGATGCTACACTGGACCAGTGCAACTAAAGCAGTTCTCCATGGCTAGACATAATGCAGATTCAGATCATATTCTGTCAAAACCCAGGGCAACTTCATCCAGCATAATTGAAAGTTTGTGTAAACAAAACAGCCATATGTATTGTTTAAACTCCTGCATTAACTATCATTTTCTAGAGGACTTTACAGTGTAATTTTCACATAGTCCAAGAATTTCTTTTAATCTTTTTTTTTCTCTTGGTTTTCTATAGTGTCAATGCAAAGATTAAAGCTATTGAAGCTAAACTCAAAATGATGGCAGAAAATCCAGATCCAGACCTGCCTGGGAAGTCATCTTATTCTTATTTCAAGGCTACTGAGAAGAAAAAGAGTACACCTTACTCCAGAACATCATGGAAATCTAAAAGATGACATGTTCGCTGTTGTTTCAGGCTAATGTACAGTTCAGACTCTGGGGTTATACTCTCCCGCAGTATATAGTGCAAGCTTTTTCTGTCCATAATCTTGAATTACATGCATTATAAAACACAGTCCCTATTTTTCCAAAGATCTTTTGGCGTATTATTTATTATTTACAACTAACTGACTTTTAACTTGCTCAGAAAGCAGTTCATTTTTGTTTTTCGATCCACTGTACTACTTCAAATGAAGTTTTAAAATGTAATATTCAAATTAAAATCGTTCAACATCCTGGCATTGAAAGAAAAGAAAGAGTACTTTATAAAGTAAAGTATTATAGAGTTCTTTAATGTTTGTAAATGGTTTTAATCTTTGGCCGTGTATGTTAGCATAGGTTTCTTACTTGGGGGAAAAAATGGATTTTCAAAATGATGAAACATGTTATTTATATTTCCTATGTGCTCTATTTATATTTGTTTTTCTCTTTGAATTAAATTTACTTTGTAACAGCCATTAAATGTTTGCTAATGATGTGCTAATGCACAATTTGTTTTTCAAGTGGTTGACTTATTTCTTTTACACCTTCTTATAGACTCATTAAGTCATTCACATACAATTTTAATATGCACTAAAAATGCAGATAATAAACTAAATTTAATTTGCTTATTTTTAGTTATTCAGAAATACAGTTGCCATTCAAAATGTGTGTTTTACACCGTCTTATTTCACACTTATGTAAACATTACACATTTATGAATGACTCTGCATGCTTCTTTACTTTACTATTGTTTTTATGTTGTCATGGTATCAGGTAATATTGTATATGTAAACTCTAATCATAGTGGTTTGTAAAGGCATCACAATCTATTTTTGGTCACTAATACCTGTTGCACATCTAAACTTTTTTTTTATTATTATTGTTTGTCTTAAAGTTAAACATTTGTTTTAAAAGTGCTTCAATATATAGAAAATATTTGAAAACTGCTGAGTTGAAAAATAATAATGCAAAAATTTAAAAGTTCCCCTGCTATAGAAATATGCACATTGGTTGCTATGACAGTAAAGATTAGGCATGTGCATGGGAAAAATTTTCGGTTCAGTTCGGCATTCCGCAATTCGGCACTTGAAATTTCGGAACTTCTCTTGCATCCGCTTGGTAGATAACTCCCTAATTCCCACGGTAAAAATTAAAAAGTTCTTTGGAATTTTCCCACGCTGTGTAATTGGACTCATAACTCTCTGATTGGTTACTTAATCCACCAATCAAAGTGTTATGAGTCAAATTACACCGCGTGGGAAAATTCCAAAGAATTTTCCCACGCTGTGTAAAATGACACAGAGCACTCTGGTGGATTTCAAGCCAACCAATCAGAGTGCTGTGACAGGTAAATGTAGAGACTTACCTGTCAGTCTCTTCATTTATCTGTCAGAGCACTCTGATTGGATGGCTTAAACCCACCAATCAGAGTGCTCTGAGCCTAATTGCAGGACAGGGCAAGGCTTTTTTAAGCCTTCCCCCGTCCTGCAGAGCTCAGTCTGCGCGGAGCCCTCCATGGGTGAAGATGAATTATTTTTTTTTTGCGCTCAGGTTTTTTTTTTATTTTTATTGCGTTGGTTATTATGGATTTTTATTTGACCTTTTTGGGGGCTGAAAAAAGAAGATTTTAGAAGAAAGAAAACATCAAATGGTAAGTTTTATTTTATTTTTTAACAGCTTTAGCTAATGGCCCCCCCCCTCACTATTTTTAGGGTGAGGGGGGGGTAGGTAGGGGTTCATTTTTTTGGGAGGGGGTGACTAGGGGTTTGGGGACCCCTAGTCACCTGGGGAGGGTGGGGTCATTTTTTATTTAGGGCCCCCCATCTGCCGCTCAGGGGTGGGGGCCAGGGGGAGGACATTAGGTTCCCCCCCTTATTAGTATTTAGGGCCCCCACCCACCGCTCAGGGGGGAGGACATTAGGTCCCCCCCAATTAGTTTTTAGGGCCCCCACCCACCGCTCAGGGGTGGGAGACAGGGGGGGAAGACATTAGGTACCCCCTCATTCTAATTTAGGGCCCCCATCCACCGCTCAGGGGCGGGGGCCGGGGGAGGACAATAGGTTCCCCCCCCCTTATTCTAATTTAGGGCCCCCACCGCCACAGGCAGCTCACTGTTTAATAGACATGCCTCTACTCGCGGTATAGTGAGTAGGGGCATAATTTACGAATACTAAGTAATCTTAGTATTCGTACATTTGGCTGAAAGCCCAATTCAGGTCTTATGAATGTATGTTACTTGATTGTTGTAAGTGTTGCCAATGCTTACAGCTGAATCCTGGCTATGTTTGTATACTTTTTATTTAAAATTGTATACAGTGTATTATTTTTCATTCTTCCACTGGGTAAGTATATTAGTACTTGGGCAATACTGTGCTTCAACACTTTGCCAGTTCGGAACCTCAGCACTTCGAAAATTTGGTAATTTCGGGACTTCGGCTATTCGGACATTCGGAAGTAACCGAATGTACGAATTGCCCGAACTTCGTCCGAATTCATATTCAGACCGAAACGAATTGCATATGTCTAGTAAAGATCTGTGGAACAGATCCATAAATCTTAAATCTAGTTTATGCAGCTAAATCCCACACAATATTTTCACAAAACCATTTCTTGATTTAAAAATATACAGTGTTACTTTGCAATTAAGCCAATGAGAGATAATTATGGCCTAGCTACTGGCTTGACTGCCTTACAGCCACTGCTCTCTTTTCTACATAGTTTTTCAAAGCCATAAACTAATGGGCAGAAATATATTGTTTGGCAAGTCATGTTAACATATTAGCTCACACTGACCTCTCAGCTGTATTTATACATTGAAGTTAAGGCCAAGACATTTTATTAAAAGGGGAGGCATGGCTAATAAGATGGCTTGTAAAATCGTCTTTTTTTTTATATATCTTATTCTAATCTCTGTTGTAATTTACCATCACATTATTTTTATTAATACATAATTTTTTTTAAAAGACGTCAGTGGAGGAGTCACCTAACTCTGCCAACATGTTGGAGCCCAGCGTAGGCCTTTGTGCACACGATTCAGTAGATTGTGCCCAGGAGTTAGCTATATCACACCCACAAAATAGTTTAACATGCAAGCTTTTACTATCTAGTGGGAACTATTTAAAAATAAATCCCATGTCACTTCTGAGGCTCAGCAGAGCTACTTGTCTCCACATCAAAGCTTCTTTTGTTACATAGTTATATAGGCCGAAAAGAGACATGCTGCTATCAAGTTCAGCCTTTGTCACATCTGTTTTTGCTGTTGATCCAAAAGAAGGGAAAAAAACATTTTGAAGCACTTACCATTTTTACAAAAATATTAGGAAAATTTTTCTTCTCAACCCCAGAATGGCAGTCTGATAGTTCCTTGCATCAAGAAGCTGTTACCATACCTATTAGAAAATTATATTCCTGAATATTATACTTTTGCAAATATTAATCCAGTTGCTGTTTAAACATCTGTATCAGACACTGATAACCCCACCATATCATGCAGAAAATTCAACATGTTCTTAGTGTAAAAAAAAAAATAAAGTCCTTTCCTTTGTCTCATACTAAATCTTTGTGACTATTGATTGGAAGGGTAGGATGTTTTTTTTTGTTTTTTTCTCTGGTTGCAGGCAAGCAGAGGAATCTACATTCCTTTCTGCCAGGGCACAACACAACATTAAGGGCACAAGGGAGATCAGAATCAGGTGGTCTTCAGACTGCATCCGAAGTGCCAGTTTAAAACAGATTGAAGATACCACTATAATTTGACTCTGCCCATTTAACTCCATGTATTCAAGCCGTAAACCAATTAGAGGTCATGATCTATTCAACATCATAAACCTATAAATACACATATTTGGGATGTAACAACTACTAAAAGCAATCTAACTTTACCCCCTGTTGCAGTTACCCAGTGACAGCCCTAGACAACAGGCATGTCTTTAAGCGTGTCCGGGATCTGATCTGACTTAATGACATCGATGGAGAACTTCAGGAATCTTGTTGAAGCAGACTAAGCATGATTGAGCTTCTCTGGGTATATACGCAGAGAATGGGGTAGTTTAAAAAAAAAAATCCAAAAATTCTGACAGTTTCTTAGCTACTCAAAAGCATTTTCAGTCAATATGGAAGGAGGTAACTGCAGTATTAACCCTTTAAAGACCAAACTTCTGGAATAAAAGGGAATCATGACATGTCACACGTCATGTGTCCTTAAGGAGTTAATGACCAACACGTCATGTTACTGCCCCAGTGTTGTACGCTCACACTTGTGGGTGCATATTTTTGGAGTCAACTTTTCAAACTTGTAACGGATCACCTGGCACCCCGACTGGGTACCTCCGTTGAAGGATGCTCCTAGCGCTTCTTGAGGGCCCCAAGCATCACAGCCACCGCAGACCCCACGAACCGCTGCAGCTTGGTTGGGGTCTCGCCGTCTCCTACCCACCCTGGACCTACGACAAGGCTCCAGGTTCCAGTGGATGAACCTCTCCTCCAAGAGAGTAAAGCAGGAACAAGCTCTTAAAAGAGCTTAGTAGTGATTAGCTAAGGGAGTATTCAGAGCATAGCAATCCCTTGTAGTGATATAGCAATTCCCCCAATAAGAGACAGGACTCTAGATTGAGGGTAAAGAAGAACTCTAGCTTTTAATGACAGGTACTCTCCTTTTATGCAGTGCTCCCATGCAAGGGAGACACCCACAGACAATTATACATTAGCCAATCAAACAATGGTTACATCCCACATATTCCCTCTCCTCTGCTTGGGAGATAATTGAGTTTCTAACTGTATCTACTCAATTATCTCCAAGCTGAAAAATCATACTTTTTATACATTTTTATAACTCACTGATTTTACATCACATACGAATAAAACATATTTCTGATCAGCATAACTTGGGGAGCAACATATGTAAAAATCACATGAATCCGTCCAGGGGTTAAAAAGTTAGGTTGAGGTCCATTTTAGACAGACTGCAAGCACATTTTCATGCCCAAAACAGTTCCATGGATTTGGGCTGTGCGGTCGGTGTATTTTACACTGAGAAAATTACTAAGTCCTGTTTGAATCTTCGAATGGGACTTAGTCTCCAGTCGAAGTGGAGTAGAAGGTACGGGTCAGCGGTGTTCATGCAATTGGGTAGCCGAAAACAGTTCCATAGATTTGGCTGCACACACCGCTGACCGCGTTCGAATGAGTTAAAATGGCCGCCGCCACGTGTTCGGTTTTCAAATGGCGGCCACTTTGACGACTTCGGCACTTCGACTGCATCCGAAGTGCCAGTTTAAAAGTACAAATCCTTTCTCTGGGAAGTAAAGGGCCAGAAATAGCATTCTAAAAATCCATTATGCCCAAATCAGTTCCTAGAAGGGCAATACATCCCAGGGCCATAGTCGCATGGAGGGAGGCTGGCAAACCAGTGGCGAGGTCACTTTCACCACATATCTCCCCTTTGGGGGGTTGACTAACCAGGTACCTGACCTTCTGTCGGTCAGTGCCTGAGTTAGTCTGACAACCCACCCACAACAAACAGTTACTGCATCTGGGTATTCCTCTGAGGTCACTGGGCAACACGCTGTGGGAGCTTGGGGGGCAGAGGCCAGCTGTGCTCTGCCCTGATGCCTTGGCTGGGGAGGGGAAATAGTACTTACCCCCTCCTCCTGGTGTCCCTGTGAGGGTAATTGGGGATCTGGACAGGCTGTCCAGCATCCCTGTAGGTCGGGTGCAGAGACAACAGTCCCATCTGTACCATCTGGGAGATTAGTGTTTCCCCTTTGTGGGGTAAGCTGCCGCTGGGGAGGAAGACCGGTTGTATTCTCTCCCTGGAACTCACTCTGCCGCTGGGGAGGAAGGACGATACCTTCGGCTCCCTGGAACTCACACTGCCACTGGGGAGGAAGGACGACACTTTCAGCCCCCTGGAACTCACACTGCCACTGGGGAGGAAGGACAACACCTTCGGCTCCCTGTAACTCGCACTGCCGCTGGGGAGGAAGGACGACACCTTTCGGCTCCCTGTAACTCGCACTGCCACCTGGGAGGAAGGACGACACCTTCGGCTCCTTGTAACTCACACTGCCGCTGGGGAGGAAGGACAACACCTTCGGCTCCCTGGGACTCACACAGCCGCTTTGGAGGAAGGACGGCACCTTCGGCTCCCTGGAACTCACACTGCCGCTGGGGAGGAAGGACAACACCTTCGGCTCCCTGTAACTCGTACTGCCGCTGGGGAGAAAAGACGACACCTTCGCTTCCCTGTAACTCACACTGCCATTGGGGAGGAAGGACGACACCTTCGGCTCCCTGTAACTCACACTGCCGTTGGGGAGGAAGGACCACACCTTCGGCTCCCTGTAACTCGCACTGCCGCTGGGGAGGAAGGACGACACCTTCGACTCCCTGTAACTCACACTGCCGCTTGGGAGGAAGGACGACACCTTCGGCTGCCTGGAACTCACACTGCCGCTGGGGAGGAAGGACGACACCTTCGGCTCCCTGTAACTCACACTGCCGTTGGGGAGGAAGGACCACACCTTCGGCTTCCTGTAACTCGCACTGCCGCTGGGGAGGAAGGACGACACCTTCGGCTCCCTGTAACTCGCACTGCCGCTGGGGAGGAAGGACGACACCTTCGGCTCCCTGTAACTCGCACTGCCGCTGGGGAGGAAGAAAGACACCTTCGACTCCCTGTAACTCACACTGCCGCTTGGGAGGAAGGACGACACCTTCGGCTGCCTGGAACTCACACTGCCGCTGGGGAGGAAGGACGACACCTTCGGCACCCTGTAACTCACACTGCCACTGGGGAGGAAGGACGACACCTTCAGCTCCCTGTAACTCACACTGCCGCTTGGGATGAAGGACGACACCTTCGGCTGCCTGGAACTCACACTGCCGCTGAGGAGGAAGGACGACACCTTCGGCTACCTGGGATTCACACTGCTGCTGGGGAGGAAGGACAACACCTTTGGCTCCCTGGGGCGCACACTGCCTCTGGGGAGAAAGACCGGTTGTCCCCTCTCCCTGGAAGTCACACTGCCGCTGGGGAGGAAGGACGGCACCTTCGGCTCCCTGGGACTCACACTGCCGCTGGAGACTGGGTGTCCATATCCTCAACCTCCACTGTTTTTGCTCAAAGTCCATTGCCGCATGGTTCTCAGCACTCAACTGGTGCATTACTTGGAAGACCACCTCATTTGAAGGGTCTGGGCCATACCCGGCCAACCGCCTCTTTACCTCCTTAAGGTAAGCGTCGCCCTCGTAGTGACGTATCAGGTTGAGATGCTCTTCACAGGGTTCTATCCAGGGTCTTGCTAGCTCCATGCTGCTGTAGGTAGGGACGCTGCATGGTAGCTAGCTCTATCCCTCTTGTTGTAACTCCACATGTTACTGGTGTCTCCGAGCTGCTTCTCCTCGCACTAGGACGCCATCCCACCACTTGCCACCAATGTAACAGATCACCTGGCACCCCGACTGGGTACCTCCGTTAAAGGATGCTCCTAGCTCTTCCTGTGGGCTCCAAGCACTCCGCCAGACACCACAACCACAGCAGACCCCACGAACTGCTGCGGCTTGGTTGGGGTCTCACCGTCTCCTACCCACCATGGACCTACGACAAGGCTCCAGGTTCCAGTGGGTGAACCTCTCCTCCAAGAGAGTGAAGCAGGAACAAGCTCTTAAAAGAGCTTAGTGATTAGCTAAGGGAGTATGCAGAGTATAGCAATCCCTTGTATCTACTCAATTATCTCTAAGATGAAAAATCATACTTTTTATACATTTTTACAACTCCCTGATTTTACATCACATACGAATAAATCTGATCAGCATAACTTGGGGAGCAATATATGTTAAAAATCACATGAATCCGTCCAGGGGTTAAAAAGTTAGGTTGAGGTCCCTTTATGACCGACCGCAAGCACATTTTCATGCCCAAAACAGTTCCATGGATTTGGGCTGTGCGGTCGGTCTATTTTACAATGAGAAAATTACTAAGTCCCATTCGAAAAAGTGTTCGAATCTTCGAACGGGACTTAGTCTCCAGCCGCAGTGTCGAAGTGGAGTAGAAGGTACGGGTCAGCGGTGTTCGTGCAATTGGGTAACCGAAAACCATTCCATAGATTTGGCTGCACACACCGCTGACCGCGTTCGAATGAGTTAAAATGGCCGCCGCCACGTGTTCGGTTTCGAATGGCGGCCACTTCGACGACTTCGGCACTTCGACTGCATCCGAAGTGCCAGTTTAAAAGTACAAATCCTTTCTCTGGGAATTAAAGGGCAGGAAACAACATTCTAAGAATCCATTATGCCCAAATCAGTTCCTAGAAGGGCAATACAATACAATAGTCGCAGGGCAGGAGGCTGGCAAACAGGCCCCTCCAAAAACCAGGGGCAAGGTCTCTTTCGCCTCACTTGTCCCCCAACAAATACACATATAAAGTAAAAAAATAAAAAGTTTTTTTTGATACATTTAAATATACTCTTTTTAAAGGTACAAGTATTCCTAATTCTATGGTACTGCTCTACCTATTTAGGTGTCCCCCCACTCCGCCAGATTGAAGTAAAAAGATA